TTTTGGGGTATGAACAATAAAATCATAGGTCTAGCGGTCGACACCCCGGAAGCTGCTTGATTTTGCCCACATGCAAAATTATGACGTCACTGCCGGTTGTAATTATTGAAATACACGAAGAAGTCAAACGAAAGTTTTTGATGAGTAGAATAGAAATGTCAAAGCTCAATTTATTCGCTACCCTGAGTCGACCACCATTATAAATATTTTTTTTAAATTATCTTCAGCCATCGAATACATAGATTTGTTTACGATTTTCTGAAACTAGAACCTCTCAAATGACTGAAAAATATTGGTCGACACCTTTTGTTTCCCGGATCTGTCTGTCGACTTAGTTTAAAGAAAAACAGCTGTAACTCATACGCTCTATGTCTATTTTTAATTAACTACATATCTTTTTCAAATTCATTGATAATTTTATTTTTAATTAATTCTAACAATACTACATTTTTGTTTGCAATACTTACCGTACATTTTTTCATTCTTTATCACATACAGGGTGTAAAAAAACCTTTGACGAAGACTTAAATTACGCATTTTGTACTCCCAAACAAGTAATATTACAAAATATACGTCGGAAGTATTTTTAAGTTAAAACATTTTTTTTCAATACGCAATGTATAGCGCGGCGCGCTACTATGGCGCTACGCAAAGAATGTGCATGTGTGTATGTGTGTGCGTGTGTGTAAGTGTGTCGATAAAAAGTTTCTAAAAAACGTTTTGAAAATATTGATGTATACCTCATGACCCTAAAATATCAAAACTTTTAGACGGGAAACGATAACAGACCAAACTTTGTACGCCACAGCGCAGTGAACTGCGCATACAACAAAAACGAGCAACTTTCGCATTTTCTTGTAGGTGACTGACAGAACAAAAAATATATTCAATGAATCTCGCATAAAGATTATCGTCATAAAGTAAAGGATAAATGTAATCTGCAAGCAAAGAGCTACATTTCTTTTTTTCGGTACAGCTTCTTTCTTTTTTTGTACCAATTTTTAGTCAAATATTATGGTGGATGTTTTTGAAAAACAACGGTATTCGTGGGTATTCGATCCAAAACTTGATTTTACTATGTCATCAAAATTGCGGTCTACGTATACGAGGGCGGTTTGTTAAGTCCATGACTTTGCAAAGAAGAACACTCTTTTTTTACATATTTTTTTTATTCTACATAATCTCCTTTCAACTCTACGCACTTAGTCCAGCGATGTTCCAACCTCTTCAAAAAAATATTTTTTTGTCATACCCTGAAAAATAGGCCTTAGTTTTAGCTACCACCTCTTCGTTTGACAAAAATCTTTGTCCGCCAAGCCATTTCTTTCTGTTTGGGAAGAGGAAAAAGTCACAGGGGGCTAAATCTGGCGAATACGGAGGATGTGGCAATAATTCGTATCCTAATTCGACAATTTTTAATGTCGCGATTGCAGACGAGTGCCCCGGTACATTATCCGGGTGAAATAGTTATTTTCTTTCTTTGCTAGATGCGGTTGTTTCTTGATCAACTTTTTATTGAATCTATCTAACAATGCATCGTAGTAAGATCCGGTCATTGTCTTACCTTTATCCAAAAAAACGATGTAAATAATCCCTTGGATGTCCCTAAAGACTGTGGCCATCCCTTTACCAGCCGAGCAAACAGTTTTTGCCTTCTTTGGGGCACGTTTCTCGGTAGAAGTGCATTGCTTCGACTGTTGCTTAGTCTCTGGTGTATAAAATAGTGATGGACCCACGTTTCGTCAACTGTTATGTACCGACGCATACACTCATTTGGATTGCGATTATACATGGCTAGGCATTCCTCAGAAGCTGTGATACTATTTAGTTTCTGGTTGACTGTTAGTTAACGCAGCACCCATCTGCAGAAAGCTTTTTCATGCCCAGAATATCATGCAAAATATAAAAAAAACTCGTCCAGTTATTAACCATGCCCTCCGTAGAGACTTCAATCGGCCTTCCTGGGCGCTCCGCATCATTAGTGGTAGTACTTCCACAACGAAATTCAGTGAACCACTTATGTACCATCCCATGAGATGGCGCAGAATCACCATAATCCTTTTTCAATTTGTCTTCGGTCTACTTAATAGTTTTACCAAGTAAAATATAGTGTTTAATTAGCACTCGAAACTCGCTTTTCTTTATTTTCAAAGAATACTTAGAAGTGGCCTAACTTTTTTGTTTCTAAAAAGCTTGTTTCCGCGCCAAATTTGAAAAAAGAACGGCATGCACTCCGTATTGAGTTTCCAAATATGAGACAACAAAAAAATATTAAACAAGTTTTTATTCAACCTAAAAGTCATTGAGTTGCCAAACTCTGCCCTCATATTAGGCGTTTTCTTATTTTTTTTTCTATGGTCTGTAGTGATAGTTTTTCGGCTTTTGCATCGTAAATTGGCAATCTTCACTCTGTTCTATGTACTCATACAGTCGTTCCATTGCTGCCTTAATCATAAAAAATCCTGGATTAACTTTCTGTTCAGCTTTATTCAGTTGAAGGGAATTTTAAGCAAGTTATAGCAATCTGTATGATAATTTGCGTTAAGCGTTTGTAAATCTGCTATAAGTACCAGAAATTATTTTAGGGATTTCTCGATAATGATCAGTTTTCTAAATAGCTATAGAATTCACAATAGAGTCATTAAAAGATGGAGTATTGATGTACGCGATTTTTGTTGATCTTGATCAGCTTCTTGCCCAAAAAGGAAACAATTTCACGCTAAAGAAATCTTTGCTGCAGAGCCTCTTTTTCGGAGGTGAAAATGCAGTTTCTCTGAGTGCACCTGTCCTCTAGTACATTATGTGTTATTTTAAAATATGCATTAGTTTAAACATACGCAGCGCTGCATTCCCCTTTCCGAGGATGATCGCTTTAGATGAAGCTTGTAAGGCCCTTCTGGCCGTAAGCATGATTAACGGGTGTTTTTTGGTCAGTAAGAGTCTAGACATAACCCTGCAGCCGGCTGTAGGGTACCCATGAGGATTTCTCACCCGCTCCCCCGCCTGGGATAAAACAAAAAAAAATATAATTCGCTTTAGTCACAATTGGACATTCAAACACGCTGTACGTGCACTCAATATAACAATATTGCGTATATTCTGTGTTATAAATAGAAAACAATGCCTTCGATGCTTTTATAAAGAACACAAATAGTTCAAAATCAAATAACAAATGCCTCGGTATCACTTCTCATTCGTAAAACTGTAAAATCATTTTTTTTATTACAAATCACGGTTTGTGTGTACTATGATGCGTGTGTGAAAATCTGCATGTCATTCAGTAAAGGTTGGACCTCATTTGAGTCATTTTGTATGGTGTATGTCGCATTGGAGCGTGTCGCTGCAGAGAGCGTCGCTGCAGAGAGCGTTGCTGCGCGACGCATTATAATCTTAGATTAAAATTGTTTTAATCTAAGATTATAATAGGTAGTTGCCTCTGGTAGAACATTTTGCCGCGCAGTGCCGTTGCAGCGACGCTTACTCCGGTGTAACAGGCGGCGCGATAGTCAATCTGTGCTCGTTGAGGAAGCAAGTGCATCGTACTCTTCAAATTGAGCTCGATGCAGTATGAAATCGTGCACAGTCATTAAGAAGGCCAGGAAGGTAATGGTGGTATTCTCTTTCTTTATACTGTCACCTTGGTATGTCAGCAATCTATTTGTTCTTTTCTGTCACAGTGCTTTTTTTTCTGAACATAACAAAGCAATAACTACTAAATCCTCATCGCTGTCGTAGTCAATCATTCTTTACGTTGATTTCACGCGAATACGCAAAGAAATGACGCGAGCTGCCGTTTTCTGCAATTTTAGAGCGATAGATGCTGTGAAGTGACGTGCAGCGCAGTTACACGCAGCGCCGCTCAAATGTGGTAGCCAGTGCCGTCTTTGACCTATTGGAGGCCCTGTGATAATGGGGCCCCTATGACTCCCGTTTGGTGATTTAACAGGAACTAGGGACTTTGTATTTGATCTGAGGAGGCCCCCTATCGATCGCGGGGCCCTGGGCACTTGCCCAAAGTGCCCAATGGGAAAGACGGGTCTGGCGGTAGCAATCCATTTCTTCTTATCTTTCTCTTTCACAATGCGTTCTTCTCCTGCACATAGCAAAGAAATAAGTACCAAATCGTCATCACCGTTGAAGTCACCAAACTTTCACGTTGCTTTCACACGAATACGCAAAGAAATGAAGCGAGCTGTCGCTTTATGCAGTAGTGCGATAGAAGCGGTGAAGTGACGTGCAGCGCAGTGACGCGCAGCCGCTCAAATGTGTTACGACCTTAAGTGTTTAGGTCTACCATTAATAAGTACCTAATAACCTGTTTGTATTTTATACGCAACAGATGTTTCAGTAACTGTTATAGTACGCTCTATGCCGTTGACTTGAATGTTTATCTCGTGTGTCAAAAGGGCAGCAGCCAAAGTAGCGATTAATATTATTTTTCGTTCTATCCGTGAGCTAGTAGAAAATGTGGATGGTGTTCTTTTTTGTGTGTGTGCTTCATTGCACGGTGGCATATAAAGTGTTGGTTTGTTACCCTTTCCCGGCTAAAAGTATGAATAATTTAGGAGAAGGTATCGTTAGGCATTTGTTAGATGCCGGTCATGAGGTAAGCTAAAGTTAACTAGTCTAATAAGCTAGAATACCTCTTAAGAAAAAACAAACAAATCTGGAGTTCTAAAGCGATAAAACGTGTTACATCTAAAGCACAAAATATGTTTTATTTTTGTTCATGTACGTTACATTAAATGAAAAAAAAAAACAATGACATAGATAATGTGATACAGATACACATGAAAATTTGTGTTTATATTCAGTGGGTTTTTGAATAGGACGTAAACTATTTTTCATACCCCAGTGATATGAGAGTGACACGGGGAGTTCCAACCCAAAAAAATTTTTTTGGACATAATTTTTTATTATTCGGCAAAAATACATACAACCCTTAATTTTCGCCCTGCTACCACCAACCCCTAATTTTATGAAGTTCGCTGGGTCAGTTAGTATTATACTAGTAGTAGTATATAATTACATACGCGATATTTTTCAGGTGACCTTTATAACCGTGTATCCTAAACAAGTTACACATCCAAAGTTTAGACAAATTGATGTTAGTGGAAATGCTGCCTTAATAGAAAGTGAGTAAGCATCCCCATTTTATGGTTTTATTTCAACCCTAAGATTATCAAGCGTACGCTGTTCATCCGTCCGTCTATTTGATGGGAGCGTTACCGGCTATTGCGAAGTTAGCAACTTCGTAATGGCCCCAACTTTAAGTAATGGTCGTAATGGTTAGCACCCACCAATCCGAAGGTTTGTGCTCTAGCAGTGGGGATATTCATAGAACTATATATGGTTTTAAACTTTCATGGTCACTAACGTGAGTCCCGAAATATTGGGGATTCCCAAAAAACGAGGTACAAGCATTTCCGCTAATAACTATAGCTCAAGAAAGATTACAATGATCCGTTGGTCTGTAAGCAGGCGCTTACATCATTATTGCTCGAAAAAATTAATATATTAATGATCAAATTTTACACAGAATGTGTATTCCTTTTGCCACGATAATAATAAAACTTATCACTTATCACGTTCGATGGCGCAAGTGGTTAGCGTGTTCGGCTGCGATCGTTGAATTTGAGCAACTAGCACAGTGGTCGGTCATTGGCTGGGTGACCTAAAATTTATTATCTCGAACTCCTCGGTGCTTCGAAAGGCACGGCAAACCGATGGTCCCGGCTGCATCTGCAGTCGTTAGCACCCACCAAACCGTACTGGGCCCACGTGGTGGGCCATCATGACCTAACCTCTCTATTCCCCCCATGGGGAAGGCCTGTGCCCCAGCAGTTTGGACATTAATAATAATGATGATGATTTTTATTTTGTATGCGTATGTAAGTTTCATAATTCCAAACGTCTTTAACAACGATTTCGGTCCATCTTAGTCATCAATGTAAATGATAACCAATAAAAATTGTAATGCTTTTACTTTTAGATGATGAACACGTTAATATTACCTATATTTTGGAGAACAGCGCGGAAGTGAGTAGCGACAAGGAGTTTCTGCAGGAACTGACGTGGAAGATAGCAGTCAACACCTTTCAGGATGCTAACATGAGGAGACTTGTAGAGGACACGCAGGGAAAATTTGATGTCGTCATTGCCGACCTTCTGGAAACGGAACTATACGCGGGGTTCGTATAGATCATTATTATGTGGTTTCATTTTTGTTCTCTTAGTTCTGTTAGGTTCAGTAAATGTATTTTATTGGTATTATAAATAAGACACACAGTAGTATTTCATCTGCCTGATATTTTAACGTTCCTTCATTACAATCAGCATACACGATTTTCACGTTACAGCAATATGACCAAATAGACATGTTATAGATAGATCCAACAATTTACTTTTAGTTTTTGGAATAAGATCGGCTGCAGCGTCGTTTGGAAACGTAGTCCTACAATCAATTAATCAGCCCGGTGCATTCTCAGCTCTATACTCCATGATTTAGTATTTTTACACGGATTTACTTACTTCTACATAAGTATTTTTACACGGATTTGACATTTTGAATATATTCAACAAGACTACTCAACGACCTTCTTTAATTATGTCCTAAACATAAATCACGTCTCAAAAGTCACCACATCAAGCTTCGACAGCACTGTTCATACATTACCACTGTTACTTCAGTCTTAAAAACCATATCCGTCTATTACATTCATATCATCATTAACGCCGCTCATCAAAGTTGGTGAATAAAACAATCTGTTCACCAAATTAACCTTTCGTACCCAATCATTCCACCAAGATCTGTTTACCATATAAGTTATGTATGTATTTATATTTACAGTTTAGCGGTTTTGTACGACGCACCACTTATATGGTCTTACTCCATGGGTGCCCACTGGCTGGCTATCAGGATGATCGACGATCCCACAAATCCCGCATACTCCACCGACTACTACGCATCGGTGTCACCACCATATAGTGTGGGACAAAGATTCCAAATATTATGGCAACAGATTATGTGGCGATACGCTAAGTAGTAAGTCTAAATTTCATATAAGTACTTACTACTTACTTACATAAAGCGAATCATCTAAAATGTCCAAATCATCCACACATAACAGTGTGATGCTATGTCTCATTGCAAGCTCGGAAGCACAGCTCGATAAAACAAAAGAAAGCAAAACTTAGGGACTTTCATGGCAACGGTAGTGTCAAAATGATTTGAGGCCCTGGTGAGGCCCAAGTGCGAATTTTCGCAGCTCTGTCGATGTCTCATATCGTCATCGTCAAATTTTGTATGCAAGGAGCCAGTTTGTTCTTAAGTCCGCTTCTTAGTTTTCTTAGAAACTTTGACGATGTGATATGATTACGGAACTATTAAAACTCTCTATTTGTTTCTTAGGTTTTTAGATTTTAGGTTTTAAATAAAGTTTCGTGCATTAACCCGTAAAAACTAGTTTTATTAAAACTCTCTTTGGGCCTCTGATGTTCTGAACTGAACTAATGTCCATACATCAACCATCACAACCACATAATTTTATTTTTGGGTTGTTCATATAAGAGGTCTCGTTAGACGACGTAGGTCTTTTTGTGAGATCTGATTTTGCGTGTGACAAATTTTTTTGCACAAGAAGCCCAACTTACAAGCGATTTATACCCAATTCATGACGAATTGGGTATATACCTTATCATAATGACTTGTGAATTATCTAATTATAACAATTAGAAAATTCACAAGTCATTATGATAAGGTTGTTCTCGACTTCATCATTCTAAAATAGCTAAGTATTTGTAGATATGATGGAAATCTTCAATTATGAATCATTAACTCGTTATCCTTATTATAGCGTAGTGTTATTGCAGCACTCTTAATAAAAAAAAATGTATTTGACGTTATTGTCTAGACAAGTTCTCGTTAAGATTTTATAGACTGCTGTGAACATTAGGCAACTAAACTTACTTACGCCTCAAACTATTTACAGATAATGTGTAATAATTTCGAGCAGGCGCAACACCTTTCAATAATACGCTGGATTAAACCCACATTATTTGAAATAAATTCTTTTTATTTTAGCTTCAAATATATGCCAAAAGAGAAAAATTCTTTTAAAAGTATATTTGGCCCACTGATTGCCAAGCGAGGAAGAAAACTACCCAAGTATGAAGAGTTGATATACAACGCTTCACTGGTCTTAAGCAATGAACACCACGCGACTGGTAAAATACCAAAAACACCTCAAAATTGGAAGCTAGTTGGGGGTTACCATATACAAGACCCACCGGTATCATTACCAAAGGTATAATTTGAAGTTGTTTTTGCGCATTTACACAAGTTTGCGCAGCTGTACGGCGATTTTTTAAAATAAAACTCACTTCAGATTTCGGTAGCTGAAATTTTACCAATTACTTTTTTATTCATTACGCCATTACACGGCAAAATGTAGCTATGGCTATAGAAGTAGCCAGTATTAGATATTTGACATTTGTCAGAAATCTGAATAAATGAGATCGAAAATGAGATTGCATCTTACAGAATACCTATGCTGGCCGTCTATATTTGGTTACATTGATAATAATTATACATATCGAATTTGAATATCACACAGTGCTGACTTAATACATTGTAGGAATTGTAGTTGGGGCACGTTTGGGTTAGGACACGCTTAAACTAATGCATATACTATCGGGTGCTTTAATTTTGGATCCATTTTCTTTATATGTGGTTTAAACATGTGCGCTGCAACAAGGTTGAAATCTCCAGATGTGACTGTACATTAAGGATACAACTTGACATTGAAATCGTTTTTATCGTACATAGTATGAAAAAGTTATGTTAGTTAGCTATGTTTTTTGCGGTACAAGTATTTCTACTGTACATATAATTTCTTCTTAAATAAAAACGTCATTCGTTCAATGTTGATTACTATTGTAGACCATTTTAGCCCAGGTTTTTCTATCTATGGCCTTATTGATCTAGTCATTGCCAGCCACGCCACGTCGTTAATGTCATCAATCCATCTTTATTTTGGTCTTCTATTACATTTGTGCCTCAGTCCTTTTTAAGTCCTGTCTAAGTCACTTTCATTTTTTATTATCCGTATGAGCCCATCTCTATTTCAATTGTTTTACCGTGTTCCAAAGCATCAATAAGATTTAATGTTTTCTTTAAATATCTTTATTTATTATTTTGTCTTTTATTTTTATATTCGTTTTGTCTTTTCTTTTTATGTTTCTTTCACATCGAAAGCGTGGTTAAAAAGGCCTCACGCAAACTCAGAGTCCTTAAACAAGGCTTTTTCACGCCCGAGCAACGCGTGCTTGTTGTATAAGACGGAGGTGCGGTCTTGTGTGGAATATTGCTCGCACCTCTGGGATGGCTCCGCCATGTACTTGCTCGATGGCTTGGACAGGTTACTGCGGCGCGCGATCCGCATCATAGGCGATAAGGAGCTGATTAAACACCTTGAGCCTCTACAATTGCGCCGTGACGTGGCATCATTAAGCGCTTTCTATCGTCTGTACCACGAGTGTTCCAAGAAGATATTCTCTCTTATTCTACCTTTCCCTTTACTTCAGAGAACCACGCGCGCTGGCCTACTTTGCCACCGACTAACTGTGGCCACTATTCCAACGCGTACAAAGAAATTTAGTGACTCGTTTCTTTATAGAACTATCCGTAAATAGAATGCTCTGCCCGCTCACGTGTTCTATAAACCTAGGATCCTTTAAAGAGGCATGAAGAAGCAACATGCAGGCCGGCAAGGTGAGAATGGCTGGTGTGGCAAGTAGAACTGCTGTACCAGCTATCTTCGCGTCTGGACTTTACCGTCACTTAACAACAGCCCCACCTGTTGAGATGAGATGTTGCAGTCATTTCTCGTACATATCTATAAAAAAATGGCACTCCTAATTCTACTCTACACGACCTCTGTTTGTTTGATATTTGACTTGTATTTAGTTTTTCATGTATTTTGTGCCAATAAACATGAATCCATCTCCTATTACTTTAAAAAAATTCAAAATTTCTTTGTTATTTTTTTTTTCAAATAATCATTATTCATATCGTATTCAAACATTTTTCTTGATTAAATTAGGATTTACAAGTTATGATGGACAATGCAAAACATGGCGTCATTTACTTCAGTATGGGATCAATGTGGAAAAGCGAAATGATACCAAAAAGACTGACTGACGAATTGTTGAAAATGTTCGGCGGATTAAAGGAGACGATCTTATGGAAATACGAAGCCGATCTGCCGCACCGGCCCAAGAACGTTCATACGATAAAATGGGCGCCTCAGCAAAGTATCCTTGGTGAGGAAATTATGTAGAAAAACAGACTTAATTAGCTATATTATGTTATCTGAAGAAAATTTTATTAGAAAAAAGTCCACTCGGCCCAGGTTTAAGACGGGATTGGAACCCGCATCTTCTGCTATTGCTACTCACTAACCAATCATGCTACCGAGACTTTAATAGCCATGTTGAATTTCCTCTAGTGTTTCTTAGCCTGCAAGGCAGCGCCATCTTCTCGTATTGGAGGTAACCCGCAATGTCAAACGAAATACCTTTACAAGTAAAACGTTTGAAAGAAGAAAGAACAATATAGCTAGCTAGTAAAATTTTCTTTAGATTTCTATTTACTTCTCTATTTATTAATTTTACATTACACCTTCTTCTAGCTCACCCAAACTGCAAGATCTTCATATCACACGGTGGTCTTTTATCTTCAACTGAAGCTATTCACTTTGGCGTTCCCATAATTGGGATACCGATCTCGTACGACCAGTACATAAACATCGAGAAATCTGTTACCAAAGGTTACGCACTTAAAGTCAGCCTGTCTTATAATTTGGCGAAAGATTTGAAACCAGCTATAGAAAGTCTGATACAGGATACAAAGTTAGTGGTATTTTTAATATTTAAAGGGTTTTCTTGAACAATATATTTAAACTGTATGCACACGAAATCCTAATAAGAAGAAGCAGAAGTGCCTTTGAAGGCACAAGCTTTAAACTGAAGTCCATAATATTCTTAGTAAAAAAACTCATATCTTTTTTGTATTGTTCAATAGCAGGAGATTTAATTGTGTGATGAATATACATATTGTTTCCTGACTCATAGCTGTTATTTTTATAGTAATTAAACCTAAATTTACCTAATAACTTATTACTAAATGTAGTAGTGTTCGAATAAGTAAATGTAACAGTCGACCAGAGTATTACTTACTAGCAGAACCAACAGACTTTGCCGTTTCCGATGAAAATATCTTTCCATAAGAACCTTATAAAAAAGTATTCTTCTAAATTTTAAAACAACAAGATAAATGAAAACGATTTTGTCGTTCTCAAGCTATGGTTTGATCAAGGCAATTAGGGATTCAATTTTAAATACTACTAGCTTCCAATCGTGACATCGTACCCACAGTAAACCACGCTATGCCACAATAGGGTATCTGAGAAGTTTTAGAAAACGATCTCACGTTTTGATTGACTAATGTTTATGGAATCCGTTATAAGTGGATATTCATCATTCTGTTGTGTATTTCAGTAAACATAACGAAATCAAAAACTCCATTTTGAAGTTGCCGCGAAAACGTTTTTCTGGACAATATGGCGTCTTACTAGTGTGTGACGTCAGACGACTTTTATTAAAACGTCAAACGATACAATGTAATGTCACTTTAACCGGAAGTTTATTTGCGTGCGACGTCATCTTAAGCTCCGCCAATCCCAAGTGTTTTGAGTCACGTGACTATTATCTTTTTCGTGGGTTTTTAGTAAAATTATGATTTTTTTTTGTAAAAATAGTAAAACCCCTGCCAATATTCATTCTAAACACAGATGCTAACAATTGGCACTTTATTTTTAATACTGTCAAATACCCTATTTTATGAAATAATTTAATATAAGGCACTAGTGGGTGGTAGTAACTTCGTTTGCATGGAAATACTGCTTTATCATACAAACTTCCACCCCACTTTTCATTCCTTTCAAGGATATTATCTAGGATAATATCTATCCTATGTCTTCTCAGGGACAAAAAATATCTATACCTTTCATTTGAATCGATTAAGCGCTTACACAGTAACAGTTACACTGAGAGACAGACAGACAGACACACTATTTCATCCTACTAATATTATAAATGTAAAAGTTTGTGTTTGTTACTGAATCACGCAAAACCTACTGAACGGATCTGGATGAAATTTGGTACGCATATAGTTTATGACCTAGACAGATGAGATATAGGATAATTTTTATCCCGGAAAAATATTATATTCCAGTGGGACATATAATTTCTATATACTATATTAAAATATAAGAATAGATTGGTTAACATACCTACATATTATAAAACATGGAGTAGTTCAATATCCATTTTTGTCATCAAGTTCATATTACTCGTACTTAGGATCTATAATTATAACCACTTACACATTTCAGATACAAAGAAAACGTGAAGTTTCTTTCCAGCATTTACCATGACCGACCAATACCCCCTGGCAAGGAGTTGGTGCATTGGATAGAGCACGTGGTGCGGTCTCGGGGCGCCCTCCACTTGAGGTCTATCGCCCTGGACGTGCCATTCTACCAGAAGGCTTATTTGGACATCATTGCCATAACGATCACCACTTTCACATTCATTACATGTCTAATCAAACAGCTGTTCCGGAGAAAACCAACGAAACAAATAAAGAAGAAGGTGAATTAAAAACTGACTCCTGACGAGGAGTCCAGAACTAGCGACAGTAATCCAATGTTTTCCTAAAATAAAGATATTACAAATAGTATAAAGATTTTTTCTTTTACGCAGTATCTATAGAAGGATTTCTTAAAGTGAGGGTATAGAGTAAGGAACATTTATTTTAGTGTTAAATGAATTAGTGTGAAATTAAATTTCTAATTTGACAGGTCGGTATTAGAATGTGAAATGATCACATGAATCATCATAGAAAAAAAAACATAAAATTTTTGATTGATGTTTCATTGTTTCAAAAAGTTGAAAGAGAGTTGTGGAGCTCAAAATTTATCGCAGAATCTGTTTCACTCGAAAAAAAAAAGACTGTCATTATTCTAGGTATTCAGTTTAGTATGAAATAGATTCATAGCAAACAATTTGATAAGTGTAATCATTAACAGATGCCCCGCATTCAGTCCAAAAGATAGGAAGTTAATGACTTATTCAATAATGAAGGTCAGTGCATAAGTGTGCGTGAGCGTGTCAATGAATGTCTTTGATAAATTTTATCTATCCAACACCACCTATTTATATTTTAAAAAATCTTTACCTTGAAAATACTTTATTATGTTAAAAGAGTGGCAAAGGCATAACTTGTAACAGCCTATAGACACTTGCAATATCAAAAATATAATTTGCACCGTTATTTACCCTGTCCCAAACCCCTACCCTGTGGAGCCCTGGAACCTTACTCTCCGACAGAAACACAACACCAAAAAGTAGTGTTTCTTTACTCTGGTCTTCTGTAAGGTGGGCGTTGGTTCCTCAGACGGGCGCTCCAATTCGAGCGGAAAATCGGCTATGCCCTACCTCTCTGAAAAAATCTTGAGTTTTTTATTGACGTGTCAATTGGCACTATTCCTCTCAGTAGTGTCATAATGGGACAAGTGTTACCAATAATTTAGTTTCAGAAGTCTCACTACGAAAGGAGCTGGTTTATTCATCTCATAAACACCTGTGCTTTCGAGCTCCTCTGTGACACTCAATGTCAAACAAAAATATCTCCAAGCTTGAGTTTAATTAACAGTCCTTTGAAATAGAATTTAGGTCTGTAATTTTGTGGCTAAAACAATTTCGAAATCATTAGTTAGCAGGTGTAATATCTGTGTAAGGGCTTGCGGCGGATGTTCAATATGGTAACCGCCAATTAGTGTCCAGCTCTGTGGTAGACTCGTTGCACTTCGGGGCACATTGCGGCTGTTGCAGACTTAGAAAAGGAATTGTAGTAAATATCTCTTATAAGTCTCTTCGGTGGTGTCGTGTGAGGCGGGTCGTTACGTTCCCTAAAATATGGTTGAGCGAATCGATGGCTGGTTCATGCGTCATGCTCGTGTACGCGTGCTGACAGCGGAGATGAGTCTGCCCTAACTCCTTTCATAGTGAAGATGTTAATGTATATTTACACCTAATATAAATAACACTATTAGTATTAATACTGTATGACACAACAATCAAAATGCAGGTGAACAATTAATGTAAAGGAGTTTGCTGAGCTTCCATACATGTTTGGCCTAAAGACCAATAATCATGAAAAATTGTTTCCTAGATTCGAAATTATTTGAAAATTACTGTAGAAACGAATATTATTGACGGACACCCCTCAGAACTTCTATAAACCATATACACTGAACATATTAAAATAATAAAAAATAAATAAGTTATATAGTAAACTAGTAGTCTAAGAGCCAGCGGCCCGCAGGCCTTCGGTAAAGTATAAAAGCTGTAAGTTTCTCAATGTATGTCCCCAACACAGGTAAGAACGAACCCCGTCTATGTAACTTGGGTCGCGGTGGCTTTCGCAGGTATCAGGTAATAAAGGTGTGTAAAATTGTGTGTTAAATTTGGTAAAGTATAAAACTCAGTTTTTACATATTTTACTTATAATAATCCTAAAAGTCACCTTGCCGAAAGCCAGACACTTCGTACGGTTCCAACCCTCTGCCAGACACCCTTAAAGTATATTTAATTGTTACTATACTTACGGTATAGTAAAAAACCTGCAATTTATATATGTTATTTGGATAACTATAAAATAATGTTTTCTCAATAGCCAGACAGTTTCAGTGGTTCCTTTATGTTGCCAGGCACATCAAAAGTCTAATGTAGGTGCGAACGCGAGGGATATATGTGTCAGCGGGTGCGAGTGAAATAGCGCGTTCGGTCCATTGCGACGCTTTACTGCGCATCGTCTATCATTTATTGTATATAATGAGAACTATTTTCTAGATTTACTATGAAAATTCATTAGTAAAATTCATTAGTAAGGGTACAATAACTTAAAATCAACAAATAAATGTTTAGAAAATTCTTTTATAAAATTTTCGTGTTTAGGAATCATAAAATTAACAATCGAATAATATCTTTAAATGATTATTTTTATAATATTTATGGGAATCATACAATTAATCTAACACAATAATTAATGGGAAAATGTTTCAAAGGTATTTTATTAATGAAAAAAAAGTGTATTTAATTATTGTCATCGTAGTCGTCAATATCTTGAGTGTCTTCATCATCGCTGCTCCAACAAGTGGGTTGGTCGTCATCAACATCGTCTTCTTCTTCGCCAGTTTCTGTAATAATTAATCCATGTTAACATAATCATAAATAATTATAATTTCCTCAATAATATTGTAACATCATAATTACATACCTGATACAGTTGTTAGAGAATCACTGACGTAGTTTGGTAGCTGATCACCTTCAAACCATTTAAAATGATATTGATCATTTTGCAAGATCCAACCATTATTTTCTGGTTTGTATGTAGTTGGTTTCTTGAGGTGAGCATTATTCCAAATAGTACAAATATAATTTGCCCGCATAAATTGCTGAGATAGCTCACTTTTACAAGGTGGCAAACTGCTGGCATCGAAACTTCGTAATTTTTTTCGATTAAATGCCTCGTTGACATCAGAGACTGTATAGGAATCTATAAACATTTGGAATCGTGCTGTATCAACATCAATAATATTACCAGCATTGTATAAATTGCATATATATCGCTGAATGGTTTTAAAGACGTTTTCTTGTTCGAAAACAATATTATTTTTCCATCACTTTTCTTACATAGAAAACAAATTAATTGTTCTTCCATGATCACACTGATTTTCCCTTATTACTTTATAAACTGAACAAAAAAATAATAAAACGCTTGCTGTACGTATTACTATTCACCACTTAATACACAATAAATGACAGCTGATGCGCAGTAAAACGTCGCAATGGACCGAACGCGCTATTTCACTCGCACCCGCTGACACATATATCCCTCGCGCTCGCACCTACATTAGACTTTTGATGTGCCTGGCAACATAAAGGAACCACTGAAACTGTCTGGCTATTGAGAAAACATTATTTTATAGTTATCCAAATAACATATATAAATTGCAGCTTTTGTACTATACCGTAAGTATAGTAACAATTAAATATACTTTAAGGGTGTCTGGCAGAGGGTTGGAACCGTACGAAGTGTCTGGCTTTCGGCAAGGTGACTTTTAGGATTATTATAAGTAAAATATGTAAAAACTGAGTTTTATACTTTACCAAATTTAACACACAATTTTACACACCTTTATTACCTGATACCTGCGAAAGCCACCGCGACCCAAGTTACATAGACGGGGTTCGTTCTTACCTGTGTTGGGGACTTACATTGAGAAACTTACAGCTTTTATACTTTACCGAAGGCCTGCGGGCCGCTGGCTCTTGCTCTATAGGGAAATCAAGCTAAGTACCAAAATTATGGATTAGATTCAGGTATATTTTATATTAACTGATAGTTGCCTGTGTTTAAAGTTAATGCATAAGAGTAACTTTTAAAATCAGGTGTCATTTCCGGTTATAAGAAGGTAGGTACTCTGTGACAGAAACTGTGTGATGATTGTGAATGAGCCACAGATTAGAGAGAATTTTTAAACTCTCGTTAACCGAAGAAAGCTAAGAGATTTAGGTTCTATAGCCATATATTCAGTAGCTTCATTACTTTTGTTATGTTTTTAAGATAACCATATTTTAGATTTTTATTAACCATATTTTAGTATCACACATTATAATTTTATTTATTTATTAATTTATAGTCAGGGAACGTAGGCCCATAGATAGATACCATAAAGTCTAACATATATACAGATTATAATGTGTTTATGGAGGTGTTTGGCGAAAAATGTATGGGTGCGGCCAGAGTGCACTCAGATTCAGACTCAGATTCAGATTTCGAAAACAAGCGCGAGAAATAAACAGTGTAGTCTAAGCAGGTTGCTTGCTTTTTCTCGCGCTTTGTTTTCTGAGTCTGAATCTGAATCTGAATCAGGAGTGCAATCTGGCCGTACCCTTCGACTACACTGTTTATTTCTCGCGCTTGTTTTCGAAATCTGAATCTGAGTCTGAATCTGAGTGCACTCTGGCCGCACCCATAGGGTGCGGCCGGTTCAGAGTCAGATTCAGATTCTGAAAACAAGCGCGAGAAATAAACAGTGTAGTCTAAGCAGGTTGCTTGCTTTTTCTCGCGCTTTGTTTTCTGAGTCTGAATCTGAATCAGGAGTGCAATCTGGCCGTACCCTTCGACTACACTGTTTATTTCTCGCGCCTGTTTTCAGAATCTGAATCTGACTCTGAATCTGAGTGCACTCTGGCCGCACCCTATGGCAATAGACTTTATGATGTCGCCTACCATCTATAATAATTGCCAGAGCACATTTGCATCTAGTGCAAATGACAATATAGTTGTGGATATTAATACCACAGTGTAATAAAAAGAATGATTTATTTTATCGATCTTTACAAGATAGATTTGTTTTTATGTTATATAAACAACTTCAATCAGTCTTTGGCTGAATGTTACTACACCCATAGCCATTAAAAATGATTCCTATGTTTTCCAAACCGGTAAAATTAAAAGTCCTTTTTAAAGTAAATATAGTATACAAAGGTGTCCGTTGAAATCTAATGACTGTAAATCAAATTATAAATTACGCCAAGAATTACCGTGTATGTCAATATTTTTTGTGCATTTAGGCCAATTTGAGCAATCTCCTTTGATCATAATGTAATGAAAGGTGACTTCATGAATCATCTCTGAAGTAATTTTTCAACATGACGACTCTATAAATAAAAAAATAGGGAGAAAAGCCGCCCTTGATGTGTTTCTTGCTGGTTCTTCTCAGTACAAGATCTCCCGCCGTAGTAGCCGCGTAGCTTCTAGACTTGCAACCTGGGATCCTTTAAAAGAGGCGTGAAGAAGCAACATGCAGGCCGGCAAAGTGAGGATGGTTGGTGTGGCAGGTAGAACTGCTGTACTAGCTTTCTTCACGTATGGACTTCCCCGTCACTTAACATCAGGTGGGACGGAGTCATTTGTCGGACCTGTCTATAAAAAAAAACAAACATTCATGGGTGCTTATAACAGCCTAAACTGAAGAAATGATTTTGATTATGATTATCATGCCTTGAAGATGAAGCTCCTTGGCGCAGTAGTTAGCGCGTACGGAGAACGATTTTTTTATATGAGCAAATTACCCCATCCCATTTGATGTTCAGCGTAGGCAGGATCCAGTCGCGAAGATAGATGATGCGTCAGAAAGTGTGCCGTTCCAGCCATCCTCACTTTGCCGGCTTGAACCCAAACCCCTACCCCATGGAGCCCTGGAACCCTACTCACCAGCAGAAACACAACACCACCAAAAGATATTTTAGTGTGTTCTTCTGTAAGATGGAGGTTGCTTCCCCAGACGGTAGCTCCAATTCGAGCGAGAAATCTGCTGTGCCCTACCTCTCTCAAAGTGATTGTGGAAGTCGAGCAACTTTTTCATTTTTTTATGCTTAATAGGCAAGGCGATTGACCACAATCTCGCCTAATAGAAAGTCATGATGAGGCCTAGGATGGTACACGTCTGCCTAGAAGATGCCTGTTCACTCTGGCCTTGAAGATGTCCAAATTTTATTGGTCCGGGAAAACAGACCTCGGCAAGGAGTTCCACTCCCTAGCCGTTCGCATAATGAAAGCGGAAGCAAATCGCTTCGTGCGAATAGGAGGAACTTTGACAACTTTAACAATGGTCTACAATTTGATGGGACACCGAATAATTTCTTATTTATTTCGCTTTTGATATGGGAAGTACGTTATGTCCCGGTTGAAACTGCGTCGTTAGCACCCACCAATACGGACTGGCCTCACGTGGTGGTTCATGGCCCGTTCCGAAAAACCATCCATCTGGTGACAAGCGCCGGGTATTATGACGACTTTCTAAAGACTACATTGTGTGAATTAAAAATTACAAAAAAAACAATGAATTATCAATCAATTCCTCTTTTCTTTTATTACTGTTGAACTACCTTTCTTATTTGGAAGCAACCATTTCACCATTTTGCATACTGCAAATATTAAAGCGATTATAGCAGCAGCCAGATCCAGATAGTATTTCTGGTAGAAGGATACGGTAAGCGAAGGAGATCGTAAGTGCAGGGCACCTCCTGTCTTGATCACGTGTTCCACCCAGTAAACAGCCTCTTTCCCTGGTGGCAACGGCCTGTTGTGGTAGATAGACGACAAGTCTTTTGCTAATTTTCTATATCTGGAAATTGTATAGTCAAAAGATTAGCTTCTATAGGACATTCGGAGATATTAACTATTAAGACAATAATAAGTAAACCCATTTCTTGTAAACAGTTAGACAAAGGACAAGTAGGGCCTGGCGTGATTCTCTTATATTTGGAACAGTCTCTTCGATTTATTCCCTTTACAGTATAACAAAGACACACTCCTTTCCAATTTAGTTTTACGATACAGATACACGTGCTCAAAATCATGCTATTTTCCAGCTAATGCTACATCGTAGCATGTGTATACATCCTTTGATAGAAATTAGCATGTTAATTGGTAGCATGTTTAAATATTGATCGACGTTGATTTTTGAACATGCAACCTGGGGCGAGGGGTGCTCTCTTTAAGCAAAACTAAACGTGGTTGCTATTTTTCCCGTATCAATGACACGGCTTTAATTTACTATTATTTTTTGATTAGTTTTTATCAAAGTTATATAATGAGTGGATGGCGCGTTAGGAAGACGAAATGACATTCAATTTTAATATTTAATACCGAAACCATCAATGTCTCTGTTTAATCCTCGTTAATCGGTGTACTCGCTCTAGCTCGCTTTTTGCTAGCAAAAGTAAAAAGTTCGAAAGAATGCTCATAAGCAGTATGCTTATGAGTATTAAAATAGTAGCAACTAATTTAGCGTGCTATTATAGAGCAGGTGTATCTGTACTTTTAGTTTCAATTAGCATGCCAGAATCAGGCCCAAATCTATTGTTTGTCGGCAGGCTTTGATATAGGTAACAAAAATGTTTATTTCAAAGACTTGTTTAATATTTATGAATATAAAGTTCTTTAATTAAATTACTATAACTTAGATATATTTATGGCTTTTACTTACTTCGGGTTGAAAATAATAGTTTGAATAGCGACTCCTAAATTATTGGGCAATTCATAATTTAGGGGTACCTTTATCGCATAGCCCTTCGCCACCGCTTTGTTGATATTTACAAATTGATCGAAGAATATCGGTATGCCAATTATTGGCACTCCATAGTGTATAGATTCAGTAGAAGACAGTTGACCTCCGTGTGTTATGAATAGAAGACAATTGGGGTGAGCTGTTGACAAAGAAAAAGTTGTAAATGATGGATCAAACTCTTTCGATATATAATAATTTTAGTTTCATTCTACAAATACAGAAAAGTCATGAAGTACTCGACAATTGGCACACAACACAAGTGAGCGAGTATGTATTTTCACTGTACACACTAAAGCGTTCATACACTATCGTGTATGTATAGTCAAAAGTCAAAAATACACTATCGTGTATGTGTAGTCACACACATTTATGCATAACCGATAGCTTAGGAAGAAAACTGTACAGTGTTTCTAGCCTATTGAACTCGGCTTTGGATGAAGGTTTTGCAAGCGCAGTTAAAACCGTCATGCATACATAACTTATCGTCTATGGCTGGCATTATACTACTAGATTGCACATTTTTTCTCCATCAGAAAATAAGTAAGGTCTGGCGGGGTTGGAATCTTCTATTACGTATTTTGTGCTATAACGCTTCTTGAGTGATTTTGGGTGCTAAAGGCTTCCTGGGCAGTACGAATATATAAGTTGAAAGAGATGGAAATATGTCAATAGAAAAAAAATCTTTTCAAAATCTGGGGGCACGGTAGTGTCGCCCCATATTTTGACTAAGGTGTAGAGTTTTTGAAGTTAGGCCTTGTAGAGTTAGGCTACACGCCGTAACTAACCTAAGTTAGAATTAATAATTGAAAATAAGCTTGGCTCTCAAGAGATCTGATAACTTTTCAAAAGTGCGAGTCATATATATGGTCTCCCCTTGGCAACATTTTACATGAAAACTTTTTAGGTGGGATTATTATACAGGTAACAAACTCTACAAAAGAAAACACTTTCTAATATTATATGCCTAAGAAGGTGTTTTCTCGTTAAATCTTTCTATTTATAACTCTAGAGAATTCTATCATGGTTCATGTGGTTACCTAATATACTGGGTTGAGGCGCCCACTTTAATATCTTCACGTTGGCTGGAACATTTGGCAGATCGTCCTCGAATTTCCAAATGACGGTTTGCTTGAGTTTTCCAAATACTCTAAGTAGACCTTCGATCATAGATTTAGGGAAGTCCTTGCTATTCCACGTGGATCCCATGCTAAAGTATATAACTCCATGTTTAGCGCTGTTCATAAGCGATTGTAGGTCCTGTATGCGCAAATAGAATTATGATTATATGATTATGACGACCTCCGTACGCCGGGTTTCAAGCTGTCACCTACTCAGAGGTCCCGGGTTCGAATCCCGGTATGAATACGAGCATTTGTACCTACCATTTTATATATTTCTAAATAAATATACTTATATAATGTAGCTGTATTCTGTCAGTTTGCGTAGTACCTCATAACAAAACTTAAAGCCTCGATGACTCGGGGTGAGTTTACAAGCAACAAGCCAGCGAGTTTGGTAGCAGTTTGGGAACTCGCCCCATGTTATCGGCTTTTTTACCATCTGCTACTTTACAGTGCTTACTTTGGGACTAGGCTAATTGGTGTGAGTGTTAGTATATATCAATTGTTACAAGTCAGGTACTTAATTCAGCTGAGATTGTGCTGAATATCGGAGGGAGGGAGAGGACAAGTATAGGCGAACATTGGTATTGATTCTGGCGTGATTCTCTCTAAACTCAAAACTAAATTTAACATCAATCTCTCCTTTTTATTCCGTATAGAGAATGACAAGGATACACTGTGGTCAAATTTAAGTTGAGGTTTAGAAAATCGTGTCAGAATTGACCACCTTCCTTGAAAAGGTAGTTGAAGAAATCGAAGTAATTTTTTTTTGGACGCATGAAAACGCGAGCTTATCGCATTCTTTGTCTTGAATCGGAACAATGACGGAAGAATTTCCAAAAGCTTTAATGAGATTTTATTCATATTATTTTAATCGGTAGTGACTGATCGCCAATCGCTTGCAAATTAGTTAATAGCCCTGATGAATGTCAAGTATCAGAAACGTTTAGTACTGGGTTATATTATTATTACTAGTGGTGAGTATCAGGAAAATAATTTTCATTAGTAGTATTTTTATTGGCTATTGAAAAATATAAAATTACGTAAAAGTAGTGATTTTGAAATGTTATTTGAGATAAATTGATATTTATAATTTCCTTTTGCGATATCAACTTAAAGTTTTATCAGTATTACGATATGGATAATGTGCTGTGTTTGCGTCTGAAAACGCATCATATCATTTAGTTATTTTGTCTACAAAATACGTACGTTGTTAGACATTAGTCAAACATTTAAATAAATGTGGACTAAAAATTTTATGATTCTTTAATAAATAAAATATAAGTCTAAAGCTATGCAAATAATTAAAGGTCATTGCTCGTTCCCCATACATTGAATGTCCTAGAACGCACAGCAATGAGTTGTGTTTGGAATCATTCATAAACTCTAATAAGACATTTGTTGAGATACGGACAACTTGAGGAACCGTGGCCTACTACAGAATGTATTAGATTTTGAGGTTATAATTATTATACTTAATCGTAAAAGATGTACACTTTATATATTCTGAATAGATTTAGTGTTTACCTCTATGTAAGCACTTACATAATATGCATTCAATGAACATAAAATGCAATTAATAATAATAATATTAAATGCATATATTCATATTGATTTATGAGTGTTGGCAGTTGGCACCTATGATACCTATACCTACCTATTGTAATAATAGATTTCTTTTCAAATGAAATGTTCAAAGTCTTTCCATTTACCTGTTTCTGTATTTTACTATCGGTAATAAGGTATGTACCTGGTTATCATTATGATTTTCATAAAAATAAACAGATATTATATGGGATGGGAGTATAAACTATCTTTATATAATTTCAGAAATAATCTTTTTTAAATATAATATAAATACTAGTGATAAGTATTATTAACTTTAAAAGGTACCTAGTTCTATTCCTATGTTGATAAATACCTATGGTCGCCTATATTGCATTTATTAAGGTAAACAATCTTGGCATCACAAGTTTTTTTACAAAATCACCCATTTAAAAATAAAATGATAACGAAGCCAATAAACTATTAAAATAAATCGTTATTATAGACTGAAACCTATTGAATCCAGTTATCATCTGATTTTTAATGCTGTATTTTCAATAAAAAGGAGTGCCAAGATTGTTTATCAAATAGGACAAGTTGGATGAACAGACTGTAGTATCTAGTAACATAACTTTAATTATTTATTTTTTTAAACAGACTGTCCGTTTACTATGGTTTATTTGCTAATAAATTAAAAAATAATATAAAAATAATAGTGAAGGACATTCTTTTGGGCATGCTAGGGCCGATTTCGTCGATGTCCTTTAGATATAATAACCTACCAAGCATATGATATGACATGACATGATGACTGATGGCCTCCGTGGCCCAGTGGTATGTACGCTGGGTTCCCAGGTGTCGCCTACTCGTGAGGTCCTAGATTCGAAACCCAGTGGAGCAAATAAAGTATGATGTTCCTAAGTCATGGATGTTTGTTTGTATTTCTACATAATATGTACTTATACATGTATCAGTATGCGTATTCTATTCGTTACCCTGCTTACTTTGAGTCTAGGTATTTGGTGTGAGTGTTGGAAATATTTATTTATTCATAATTACCTGTGGTAAAGGTTTTGGGGGATGTTCAATATGATAGCCCCCAATAAGTTTCAAGTTCTGTGGTAGACTCGGTACATCCCCGAATACATTATGGCTATTGCTAAATACGAGAGAAGAATTATAAATCATTTCATCGTAGTTAGGTAAAGTTCTTCCACGTTTTTCGAAAAGAGGTTTGAAAATATTCTCGAATGTGTCTCTTTCCTTGGGCATTGTGCTCGTCCTGTAATAAAGAATATCATTGATATAGTTACGGATATATCACGTTTAAATAAGATTCAATAAATTTACCGACAATCTGTAATAGTAAATGACAAACGTTCTCTATTACTATAGGAACAACGTTTTGTAAAAAAATATAATATATTCGAAACAATTACCATTAAAATGAGCAACTTACATAAACGAGTTACTACGAAAAGTCTTCATGTGCCGCTTTTACTGATTTTTGTTTTCGTGTGAGGTAATGCAAAGAAGACACCAGTACCCCTAGCACGAACCAATATCGACTTCGTAACGTTTGCGAGTCCGAAATGTCATTGTCAAATGTGTACTGATTTTTAAGTTCACCTTACTTCCGTTATGGCGTTGCTGTTCAAGTTTCCATACAAAATTTGACAATGATAATTTGCACTCGCAAACTGTTCGAATTCGATATTGATTCGTGCTAAGGGTACAGTAAGCCACGAAGCGAGGGACTACTAGCGAGAATGTATTCGTATCATCATATCAAAGTTTCTATGGAGAAAGTTAGTTTGTTCTTACGTCAGGTAGGAGCGCTGCCTGGTTACCATAAAAAGTTTGACGTTGGCGATACTAATACGGATTCGTCAAAGTTCGTACTTGGTGTCCCTACAGTTCAGAAACCGCTTCCGCTAAGGAGCAAAGCTTTAGAATTATTTCAAACCTGTTGGATAAATTGAAATAAACTGTGAGAATGAAAACAATGAAAATATCAATGCTATGATGTAATGACACACATTATTCCCAGTGAACCACATGTGTTTGATTATTTGGCTCTTAATGGAAAACAAGAAAATACAAAAGTGGATTTACCTTTTCCACCAAATCCATTTAATTCGCGCCCACAATTCCTCAAGTCTCTGATAAAACGTGAAAGGCACTAGGTTTGAGGACAGATAGTCCGCCGTGTAAGCCGGATTGGAAGGCTCGTCGACCAGTCGTAATGCTTGCCAATGAGGACCCAACGATGTAGCCCATATCATTGGACAGCCGTACAAAGAGGCTAGGCTGAAGATAAAAAACAATCTAAAATAAGTAATTTAGAGCAAGAATTCAAAGGGTTTAAAGGATATTATATATAGCTATGTTTACTAGCAGATTTTTCGCTTATAACACCTCATCAGAGATGTTAAGAATAAGGGAAGATAGTATATTGTTTTCAACTTTTATGGTCACTAACATTAAGTAATTTATGTTATTAACGGGATTGCTACCATGTACCTTGTTTTTAGTGAATTTCCGATATTTCGGCACTGTTGCAAGCGCCATGATCATGGAGGAACAACAAAGAAAGAAGACAGTATGTGCAAAACTGGCAAACATCTTCATATTACTAGCCTAAATTAAGAAATACTCGATTTCCAAGGGAAGTATCCTTTGCTTCCCACAACATTTGCAATGCTTGCCTATGAGGTCCCAACGATGTGGCCCATATCATTGGACAGTTGTATAGAAATGCTAAGCTGTATGCATATATCATTAAGTGTGAAGTGTTTACATCAAACCTGTTACGATTATGAACCAGTTTTGCATGCATATAAGACCACGTTATCTGTATTTTAGTTTGATCATATCAGCCGATATCATGATATGAGTATAATAATTCATACTAATATGACCACGGGAAATCCTTAATAGGATATTTTCACTGAATTGGGCTCAAATTAATGTTTTAATAATTTTAGTGCAATAGCGATCGAGAACAGTGGTTAGATTTATAACAGGTTATACGGTTATAAATAGTCGTTTTTATCATAATACCTATAAAAAGATATCATGCGTCACACTGCACCTGAGGCTATCAATAAATTTCAACTAATCATATCGGGGCTGCCTCGTATAATATTATGTGCCATTATTTTTGTAGCCATTGTAATTATGTTTTGTTCATACTATAGATATTATGCTTTTAAATTAAAAAAAAAGATATGGTGGAGTTCGTTATAATCATCGTGGTGTAAGGACTGTAAGGTCCAGTTGCCGCAATTTTACTAAATCTCAATTTAACTATTAGTAGATATAGCCCATACAATAATGTCAAATTGACATTAAAGTTTTTCTATGGATTAAATCTTGTTTTAATTGAACGGAGATTTAGCAAATTTTCTGCAAGAGGGCCTAAAAGACTTACCCTGCATAAATCTCAGTTTCATCATAATCCACTAACACAGCGTCAAAAGACTGGTTTGTGTCTTCGAGTAGCTTTTGTACATTTGTATTGTTGAATGTTACAATTGCAAAAAAAAATGAAAAATCTTGGTACATTTTCACATCATACACATCTATTTTGTTTCTCATCACATTGCTTATATTGAAGCCTTCGTCTGTAAACAGGAAATAGAAAATATTTATAGAATAAAAGAGAGAAACTGATACAGAAATAATTTATTATTGTGCGCACTAATTGCTTCACAAAATTCATCAATAGATTAATTAATAGATGACATCGATTATGTAAGTAGGGTCAAATGGTGGACAGTGTAACAAGGGGCATAGTGTAACATAAGGAATATCTCTGTTCTTTTCTGATTTGTCTATGGTCTAGATAGACCATGCTAAGATTAGCGTGTTTTAGAAATTTCGAATGCCGCCATCTTAGGCGCAGTCGACATCTGGACAGGCGCGGCGAAGATACTGAGAAGTTAACAATTTAAGTTTGACCCTGATTCGTATACCATAATTTTAAAAATTTCATGGGAAACGTGAAACAATACACAAGCAGCGCACGCGAATACTCCGCTATGTGGCTCTAGACCACGCCCCGCTCCGTGGGTCTTGGTCGCGCTCGGAGTCGGCACGCGTAGTATCTTCACCGCGCCTATCCCAGTGCGCTGTGCTTTAAGCAGCAGTCATCAATAGTCAAAAGTCTAAATATCCTTATTCAATTTGGATGCAAAATACAACGTTTATATTTTTTCCCTACCACCAGTTCAGGACGTTTTTTTAAGTTGTGGAGAAAAATTGTCGAAAAAATCTTCACAGCGTTAAATAATTGTTACGGTGTCAATACGAAATAATTTCATCTTCATCATAATTATAGAAAAAGCCTGCCCGAACGTTTGGAACAGTTTAAACCCAAGAATGTTTGTCTGAAATATAATAAGATACTTTACATTAGACTTTATTGATAATAACTCTTTTAATGGTAGTTTTAAATTTATTGACGCTTAATGTTTGGATATTGCTAGGGACTTTATTGTAGAAGCGTACACAAAGACCTTTAAATAATAATAATAATAAAATAATAAATAAACGTTTATTGACTTAAAGCAAGTTACAATATTTTAAATTAATAATACAAAAATTGGTGACAAGAGGCACATTGGAGCTTAAATATTGTTAAAGGTGACTTCTGTTGCCAGTGGTAGGATAACCTGTATTACAGGCAACAGGGTCCCCTCTATATACGTAAATACTGTAGCCGATTTAGGTGTGCGCACATTGGTTGCATGATTACTTATATAGATATATGAACTAGTTATAAAAACTACAGAAACCGACAATAACTAAATGCTGCCGTATTTGATTACACAATAAAGTGTTCTAATTAATTATTTACTAAACACTCCGTCTCTTCGTAATCCATACCTTTCAGCCATTTGCTAACTTTTATATTGCAGTTATACATTTTATGGGAATGAATAGATAAAAGAGAATTTAATTTTTTATATAATTTTGCGCTCATATATTGGTAGTTTTTTCGGGCAAATGAGGTTTTACAAATGACATTAGGGAAAGGTTGCTTGGGTCGTCTAGCAACTTCTGAGACAACAGGACCGGTCGGTGCCGGATTAGATTTATGAAACCGAAGAATTGAACGTAAAATATACAGTTGCCGTACAGTGAGACAATTAAATTCTTTGTATAGTTCCCGAGTTGGGTATCTGGAAGGTTTCCGGAGAAGAACCTTAAGGACCGCTCGCTGCGCACGTTCCAAGTGAACGAATTTTGTTTTTGAGGAACCCCCCCATATTGGAATACAGTATGAAAGAATTGACTCAATTAGGGAATTATAGACTGTGTGGAGAATAGAGGGATTAGCAGAATTTCGAAGTCTTTTGCGATGAAGATGAATTTCCTCAAACGGTTGAATAGAGACTGGATATGTTCATACCAATTTAAACATTGATCCAGCTGAACACCAAGGTACCGAACTGATGATGTCCTGCCAATTAAGGGACAAGCACAGAGGTGGGATAGATTTGATGTACAACACTGATGCGCTTTTAGTTTTATCGAGTTTAATGGTGGCAGAGCTGAAGGCTTGATGGAAAAGGTGATGAACGTTGTCTTGTCTATGTTTAAAGTGAGTAGATTTTGGGAGAGCCAATTCATGACTTGTGCGAAAGCCCGTTCGGCATGTAATGCTGCTTCTTCCCAGGTTTTTCCATGTACAAGGATGGCTGTGTCATCAGCGTAGGAGAAGATATGACAATTTGGGATGGAATTTTGACAAAGGCCGTTAACATAGACGAGAAAGAGGGTAGGCCCAAGAATACTACCCTGGGGAACGCCGCAGTCTATAGAAACGTCATCACTTAAGCATGTGTCAATACGAACGCACTGCTTTCTATCCGAAAGATAATCTGAGAATATATTTAAAGTAGATCCCCGCACACCAAGACACTCCAGTTTCTTTATAAGTATGGGAATGGAAACTGTGTCGAATGCCTTGGAAAGATCTAGAAACAGTCCAAGGCATTTACGTCTCTCATCCATTTTCTGTACAGCAAGTCGGGTCAATGAGAGGATAGCATCTTAGGTGGAAAGTCCCTTTCTAAAGCCAAATTGATTTGCTGAGATGAGTTTATTGTGCTCTAAAAAACCCACCAAGGCATTATTTAAGACACGCTCCAGAACCTTTGAAAGTGTGGGTAGAACGGAGATGGGGCGGTAATTTTTAACTGAGGTTCTGTCACCATGTTTGAAAATGGGGTGTATGTATAATAGCCCTTTTCAGTGCCGTAGGAAATTGACCTCGTTCAAGGGATATGTTACATATGTGAGTAATAATTGGCACTAAGTAAGTACTACAGGATTTCAAAAGTTCTGCAGAAATACCATCCCAGCCTACCGCTCTGTCAGAACGAAGAGAGTGAATTATTCTTTTGATTTCTTCTTCATCTACCTTGGGAATAGCCAGAGAATTTAAAGGAGATTGGGGAGTATTCACAGAGGGGGTGTAATTAAGGTTAAGTTTTAATTTGTTCGCAAGTTGACTACCAATTTCCGAAAAATATTTATTGACTTTATTAATTGATTCAATTTTTGTTTCACTGATATTTAAAAGTTCAATAGGATGTGATTTTTTTTGTTTTGTATTTGTGATCTTTTTAATGAGTTGCCATGTCTTTTTAGGGTTATTATTTACTTTTTTGAATTCGGATTTCTCGTATTCATTTTTTTAGACTTTTCAATATGTTATTGCAGAAATTACGGTAACGCTTGTATGTTATGTTAAGAATAAGATTATTAGGTTCAGTTTTTACTCTTTTTTGTAAATTATTTCTATTATGTATACACCTTAATAATCCGGGAGTTATCCACGGTTTAATTATTCGCTTCCTCGAAGGAATTCGAATAGATATAGTATTTGTCTTCACTATTCCAGACAAAATTTTAATCAAGCGGTCTGTTGCCAGATTTGGGTCATTGATAAAAAGTAAATCAGACAAATCCGTTTCTCTTAATGTTTCAGTAACAGCCTGGTAATTAGTATGAGATATAAAGCGACTAATTGTTTGAGGATTATGGGCAAGATTGAGGCCTAGCAAAACCGCTTGATGGTCGGTTACTGATGATTCAATAACTAGGGTAGTTGCCAGGTTAGAAGTTTTAAGTAAAACATGGTCTATGCAGTTGTACTTTCTAGTGGGAATTGTATGCGCTGGCAAAAGTCCATGGGAAACAGTTACATTGAGATAATCCTCAGAATGTCGATCAGTGTTACCCGCTTTGATATCGATGTTGATGTCACCAATTACAACAATATTATGGAAAGTTCCAAGTTTAGACAAGTTATCATTTAAGTCACTCATAAAAGAATCAGTGTTCCTAAATGAGGGAGGCCTATACAAAGCAATTATTGCAGTGTCTTTTCCCATTGTTAATATTAAACAATTAGCTTCCTCAAAGTTTGGTTCATATACTGTGATCTGGGCTAGTTTGTCATTAACGAATATAACAAGTCCCTCATTTTGACTCCTATTTTTCGACGTCGAATAAGTATTATAACCGTCAAGAGATGGTAGATAGTCAGCTTTGGATAACCAGCATTCACTTAAAATCAAAATATCACATGCAAACTTGAGTGACTCCAGCAAAACTACAAATCCGTCAAAATTCTTATTAATACTCCGGATATTAAGGTGCATCATAGTAAGTGTATTATTTAGGTTATTGAAATAATCAACACATTCCCCCGGATGACAAATATATGAATTGGAGATCTGCAAATTATCCAGTTCAGGATTTAGCTCTACAAAATTAGCCATTGGGATGAGATAAATGAATTATTGATTTTGTGGAGTCTTGTAATTGGTACAGCTTATTTATTTTTATTTCTAGTATTAAGCGAGTGCTTATCATTATTTAAAGGAAATAATGTAATATTTTTTCGAACATACATAAAATTTTCATAAATGTACTGAGAAGCAACAGTCAGTAAAACTATTTCTTTAAATTTTTCTCTTAAAGAGTCTCTAGTCTGAAGATTGTTAATTGATCGAACAGCCCGCTTTTGCAGCACACAAATAGTTTAAATGTCAGCAGGGTTTCCCCACAGCAAAATACCGTACGTAATCACACTATGAAAGTAACCAATATATACTAATCGAGCAGCATAGTACGTCAGTAAATTGGCGTATCTTCATTACTTCTACTACTGCGTAGGCTGCAGAGCTAAGTCTTTTCGACAATTTTTCAATATGTGGGCCCCACTGAAGCTTTGAATCTAGTGTAATGCCTAAAAATACTGTAGTGTCCACAAGGTCCATATTCTTATATTTAATAGTTACACTGGTTTGTGTTTGCTTTACATTGGGTAATAAATTTTTTAAACATTTAGTTTTTCTTTCAATAAGAAGTAAATTTTTAGCATTAAACCAGAGGACTACTTTAGAGATGTCATTGTTCACGTCGTCAATAAGTTGTTGCTTTCGTTTAATTTTAAATAAAAGTGAAGTATCATCTGCAAACAATACTATCTCGTGATTATCACTAACAAAATAAGGTAGGTCATTTATATAAATAAAAACAAGAAAGGACCAAGAATCGAGCCCTGAGGAACACCCATCTTTACTAAGGATCTGGGAGATCTTTTGATTGATGTCACTGATGTCAACTCTCTGGATCCTATCGCTCAAATATGACATAGTGAGATCCAGAGTGGCACCTTTTAATCGTGGCGTAGTTTCCTGATTAATGTTTCATGAAAAACGCATTCAAAAGCTTTGGACAAACGTCAAATGTCCTGGTTAGATACAGAGTGTCCACTTCTTACACTTGACCCTATCATTAGAAAACTAGCAAACCAGTGAACCAAATGTTCACCAAAACCTGATTAAAAAAAAAATGTATTTAATTAATTGAGAACTTCGGAGATTTTGTGTGGTTTCGTTTGAAATTCGTGATTTCTCGAAAACCGGAAGTGCTACGTTACTCAAATCCGGTTTGTAGTCTTATCAGACTATTCTTAACTTATAACTTAAATATTCTCTTTATCTATCTCTTACGGTTTGGCCGCTGAAACAGCACCACAGACAGACGGATGGACTTGTCTAATAGATAAGGGATACTAAGTTCTAACTAGCTTGCTTGATATATTTATTTATATTTCGGTTATCTCACAACATCATCATTTGGCCCCCAAAATATGCAATATTTGTACTAGTATGAAAACTTATATTATATATTTATATGGAATTATTATTATATATATATATATATATATATATATATGTATATGAAACAATGAAAAGTATACTCTCGAATGAGTTATTGACCACACGACTGAAGTGAAATTTCTTTAACTCCAATGATCTGAAAATCATAAACTTAATCTGAAGATTTGTTGATAGAAAAAACACCACCAATCCGCGTTGGGTCCGTTATCACCCACCAATCTGCGCTGGGTCCGTTATTATCCACCAATCAGCACTGGGTTCGTTATCATCCACCAATCCGCACTAGGTCCGTTATCATCCACTAATCCGCGCTGGGTCTGTTATCACCCACTAATCTGCGCAGGGTCCGTTATCATCCACCAATCCGCACTGGGTCCCTTATCACCCACCAATCCGCGCTGGGTCCGTTACCACCCACCAATCCGCACTGGGTCCCTTATCACCCACCAAGCACTAGAATTTTGATTCATGAACTATTCATGTATTTTGTGACGGGTATTGTTCATTGTTTACACGCGTTACGCGCGTAACGCAAAAATCGTCACACATTCGCCAGTTTACCCCCCAGGTCAAGCGTGCTTAAAGAAGTTTTACTTCAAAAATATATTCTTGTTCCATAACACTCCTGTTCTGATTTCTAAGTAATTGAAGATACAGTCATCCTATTTAAAATTCGGTTCTGGCAGGTTTTTTGGTATCTAGATGGAATAGCAAATAAATGACATCAGATCAATTCAGTACGCAATGTATTCGGCTGAGGATGGTCTGAAACTAGCCGTATAATTGCACAGAAGGCTAAGGAAGACTAAATATAGTTCAAGTATATTGTTATATCCATACTAGTAATTATGAATGTTACTCTGTCTGTCTGCTATGTTTTCATGCATATATTTCTGGTATCATTTTATTTTATTAAAGAGCCTGAAATAACATTTAAAAAGAGGCTGATAGTTTAGATTTAGAATAACGGAAAATCATTCATACTAATCAATAAATTGAGTGCCTGATGCACTTCAATCCAATAAGTGTTTATTAAACTTACCTGACATATCCACTAAGTTGCTGCTTATATCAACTTGGCGCAAGTTAGTGTTGTTGTCACTCTTCTTAGGGTAACACGTTACGTAAGTCACCTGATGAAAAAAATGTGTTCACTTGTATATTGTATGTGAGAATCGGTAATGCAAGCGTCTACAGGCTATGGTGGCCACTTACCACCATTAGGCGGGTCATATGCTTGATTGCCACCTCTTTGACATCGGAGTCCTTTGCCAACGGAGTAGGGGGATTGGGTCAGGGTGAGAAACGGTGCGAGTGATATTTTTGGTATAGCAAGCGTCTATAGGCTATGGTGGTCATTTACTATCATTTGGCAGGTCATACGCTTGATTGCCACCTCTTTGACATCGGAGTCCTTTGCCAATGGAGCAGGGGATTGGGTCAGGATAGGCAACGGTGCAAGTGATATTTTTGTTATCACAAGCGACTGTAAGCTATGGTAGCCGCTTACTACCATCAGGCTGGCTATATGCACTATCATAAAAAACATACAACATTAAATATCACGAAAATGTCATTTACAAATGTAAGCAATCAAAATCTATATAATTTTAAATATTTATGGTTGTAATAATCATCATCTTTGTTAATAGTTAATCTTGACCATCCGAGAAAGAATAATTATCATACACTTTTTCCTATCCTTTTATGAAATAAGAATATTTTTTCCATTTTCTTAACCAGTTATGAAAACGAATAAAATATTTTCTTTCCTAACTAGTTAGGAAAAAGTGAATAAAATTCTGCTTTCTTAGACGGTTAAAAAAATGAAAATAGACCAAAGGAAAAGTTCCTGCCATATCACAGCGGACCGAACAAAGCGGGAAGTGCAAGTTCTTGCCTTGTCCAAGACCCTTTTACGGTGGTTCCTGAGAAAAGGATCGACCGTCCACAGACTCTAATATCCCCTAAGTTCTATTAATATTTTACAGAAAATTAGGCCTTTGTGTTCAAAATAGATTACGCCACTGCCCTCTATATTTCTGGGACTATTACTATATATAGCTTAATTCTGGGACGCAAGAAGTTTCAGGTTATTGGGTCGTGTTAAGATTCCATTCATAGTTTAGACCCATTGATCACTGTACGCCTACGTTTAAAAGTTTCCGACTTACTTGTTCGTGTGTCCCAAATTTTAAATATGGATATGCGTAGTCGAATAGAGTTAAGCAACTTTATCAATGGCTGGTCATTGGATATGTGACTTAATACTTATTTTAGTGAGCTCCTCCGTACTTCGGTTATCTTCACAAGGCGTTGGTCCCTTTCAATACAATACTGTATTGCAGTGTTTTTCAACCTTTTTTATGATGCGACCCCCTTGGTATGAAAAAACATTTCGCGACCCCCCGACCCTTCGCTTTTTTATCATATATGTACGTGTATGTTACAGCGTTACAAATATTCGTTTCATACGACGTATTTTTATGCGTCTCCATAATTAGGATTCGGATATAAGTACATAATATAGTATGTACTTAAAACACATTATTTTAAATCTATATACATCGAATACGTCGCAGCAATTTACGCACATACGCACGTACGACCAAGGCCGATGCCGACCGCCCGGCAAGTGTGGTGAGCTGGCGAGTTGTTGAGAGTGAACGAACGAGCGGGACACAACGAGCGTTGCGGGGGAGGGGTCGCGGGACGACGCGATACTCACTCAATTCACGTCGACGTTTAATTGTTTGACGACCGTTAGACATTGTTTTTACTTTTATTTGTAAGAATTACGCATTTGTAGTGATTTGTAATAATTTAACATGGATAAATTCCTGAAAAGATCAACAGAACCGTCAATTTCTGGTGAAAGTAGTGGAAGTAAAACAAAGAAAAAACGTCTTTATGACGACAATTATTTGAAATTCGGGTTTACTGTGTTTGACAATAAACCACAGTGCGTTATTTGCTTTGAAACTTTATCAAGAGAAAGCATGAAGCCGTCGAAATTAACACGCCACCTTAACACAAAACATCCAAATGAAAAAAATAAGCCCGTGGAATTTTTTGAGAGAAAATTGCAAGCTCTTCAACATCAAAAAACTGGTATAGTGCAAATGTCCAACCTAAATGAGAAAGCGTTGCTTGCTAGTTATCGAGTAGCTTTTCGTGTGGCTAAAGCAGGAAAACCTCACACTATTGCCGAAAATTTGATTTTACCAGCTATATTAGATATAGCAGATATTATGTTTGGGAAACAAGAGATCGAAAAACTCAAAAGTAAACCTCTCTCTGACAATACCGTTCAACGCAGGATAAGCGATATGGCTACTGACGTTCGTGATCAAGTCATAGAAAAAATAAAGGAAAGCACTTTTGTATCTTTGCAATTTGATGAATCCACGGATATTGCAGGATGTGCGCAGTTTGTAGCTTTTGTGCGTTTTGAATCCTGTGATAAATTAATGGAAGAAATACTATTTTGCAGAGCGCTTCCCACAAATACTACAGGTCAGTGTTTGCATAACATGTTCGTTGAAGCTACGCAAGATATGAATATCGATTGGGCAAATAAATGCATTGCTATTTGCAGCGACGGAGCAAAAGCGATGACTGGTGCGAAGAGTGGATTTATTGCTAGGCTGAAAGAACAGATGCCAAACGCTTGTTGGGTGCATTGCTTTCTCCATCGCCAAGCTCTTGCGGTCAAAGTCTTGCCACAGGAATACAGCCAAGTTCTAAATATTATTATAAAGATTGTAAATTCTATTAAAGGAAAAGCGTTGCAGTCACGATTGTTTCGGATTATTTTTGAAGATATGGGGGCACTCCACCAAAATTTACTCTACCATACAGAGGTTAGGTGGTTGTCAAAAGGTAAAGTACTGGCAAGAGTTATGGAACTTCGTGCTGAACTTTTAATATATTTACAGCAGGCCAAGTCAGAATACTCTGAATTCATTTGCGGCCCGGAATTTCTTTTGAAATTAGCTTTTCTTTCTGACTTATTTGAGCATTTAAATATCTTGAATAAAAGTCTTCAAGGGCGAAATGAAAACGTCATCACTGCAAAAGACAAAATACATGGCTTTATAAAAAAAAATGACTTGTGGTCGTCGTCCATAAATCAAAATAACTTCGATTCATTTTCGTCGACACAATCTTTTACTGAAGAAGTCGGATGTGAGATAAACATCAAGACATATGTACCTGGTATGAAAGAGTTGTTAGATAATTTGAAAGAAGAATTGTGTCATTACTTCTCAGTGCAAGAGATATCAGAGAACACTGGGCAGAGGTGGATCTTAAATCCGTTTTTAAATGCAGCTATAAATGAGGCTAATTTACCAAATAAGCTCAAAGAGAAACTGCTAGAATTATCTGCCGATGGGATGTTACACTTGGAATTCAAGTCTTCTAATTTGGATACCTTTTGGTTAAGGAGAAAAACAGAATACCCGGAATTGACAACTGAGGCTTTGAAGTGTTTGATTCCATTTGCCACCTCGTACTTATGCGAGTTGACATTTTCATCGATGGCCCAGATAAAGAGTAAGCAAAGAAATCGCTTAAATTTGGAAAACGATTTAATTCTATGTGTCGCAAATACAGATCCACGATGGAATACATTAATTAATAAAAAACAAGCACAACCTTCGCATTAATTAACATGGGTCTTCGGATTTTATTTTTTGTTTCTCTTACTTAATAAATAAATAAATATTAATAATCTTTATTGTCTTTCTTTTACTAAAGTACCTAGTTCTCTCGACCTCTGGCGACCCCCCTACAGAAGCTTCGCGACCCCCCAGGGGGTCGCGACCCACAGGTTGAAAAACACTGCTGTATTGTATTGAAAGTAATATATCGTAGGGTCAAGTGATGTAACAAGAGACACAATGTAACAAAAGCAGTAGCTCTGTATTTGAATCTGATTTTGTCCGATAGCAGCTGTTTAACATGGAGGTTTCTGAAACGATTAAAACCACGTCTAGATAGACAATACACTAAAATAAGAAAACAGCAGAGATATTCCTCATGTTACACTGTACCCTTTGTTACGCTGTGCCCTTTGTTACACTGTACTTCACTTAGCCCTACTTACCCCATTTTATTTTATGAACTTAAATCACTCACCTCATGTCCCGCATTTAGCAAATGTCTGACGAAACCCTGACCCAATATATCGAGGCTTCGTATGGGGAACGGGTAAACAACTAATATTCTAGATGCTTCTACTGTACATAAAAGCCCAAAAACAAACATAACATCGTTCAAAAGCATACTGATTCCTTATTGATTCCTATTTCACAGCCGCAATACTATTCTCGCCTTTTTATTGTTTTGTAAGTTTAGTTTATATATAAAGTTAAATATGATATTAAATTGTAAGCCCTTATCACGTTCTTTAGAAACAATTTTTTTTTTGAATGCTTATAATTTTTTTTGTGGCAATAACAGTTGCCTCCTAATAAGATTAAAGTTTAGAGCTTTATGAATATTCTAATTTTTGTGAATTTTAGGGAATTGCCATTAGTCATTTATTCCATAAAAACAATATTCCTGCCAAATGTCAGAAATTGAGTAAGTACATTTATAATAAATCCAATTTATAAGACAAATTACATTAAAACTAATAAAAACATCCGCTTTAAAAGAAAGTGTTTTTAACTTTATATATTTTCGTAAACAAACACTTAACACTGACTTTAGTGCTTAAAGCAATAAATAATTTCTGATTAGATAAATAAATCGGACTATTCGTGTTGTTACCGTTACTGACGAGAAATAACTAACTTAAAGATTGCAAGTGGTTGTACACTGCTATATTTTATTGTAAGCTAAAGATAAAGAGAAGTTATCGACCTATGAATTACCCGACCTTATGAATTTTATTGTGCAATTGTATAATAATCTATTTTAAATATATAATAACCCTCTAAAGTTGCTGTGCCCTTGCAGGGCGTCACATGGTTACTGTATTTTTCTCTACCACCTTATTTTTGTGAATGTGATATGCAATCCATGAATAAATAAATAACCTTTTCAAAGTACATCCTTTTTGCAATACAGATACTAAATGCCACAAACTCCTTCGAAACAAAAGAAAATTTCACTAGAAAAATAAATACTTGGTCCAGGTTACATCGTACCCGCATATTCTGCTATCCGAATGAATTCGATACGGCCAATAAGGTCTCTGTAGCATAATTGGTTAGTGCATCTGTGGGTTCGAATCCCGTCTGAAACCTGGACTGAATGGATTTTTAGGGTCTCGTAGTCCTGACAAGGAACCCTTATAGTTTCGTCGTGTCTGTCTGTCCGTTCCCGGTTTTACTTGGAGACTATTAGCACTAGAAAGCTGTAATTTTGTGGAGCAACCACGCCGCTAAAATGGTAGAATAAAATTTGGAATTTTGTGGTTGATTTTTTCAACCACGCCGCTAAAATGGTAGAATAAAATTTGGAATTTTGTGGTTGATTTTTTTATCACACATAGACGAAACTATCACGAAGACGAATATCATTTTCTGGCAATGTCGTAAAATGATTAGCAAAGTTGGGGACTATCACCGTTCATTGTTAGGTGTGTGTCAACGACCATAATTAGGCCCATCATCAGCTACGCAGCTTTAGTATGGTGGACCAAGACAATCCAGGTAAGTTAACACGGGGCGGGCCTGCTGTGCAATCACTGGTTGCATGAAAAACTCTCCCATATCAGCGCAATGGAGACAATACTTTACGGGAGACCACTCCATTTATATATACAACAGGAAGGCGCTTGTTCAGCCACACATTTAAGCATGCTGGGGCTATGAAGGGACTACAATTCCCCACATACCAGCATTTTAGCAGACATACATAGGCACTTTCCGTATTTTGCAGCAGTAAACGACCTTATACCTAAAACGTACGTTTCGACAGAAAATAAAATATACAACTTTATGAAGACACTCCGGACCGTTGTCTGCATAAGGAGCTGAGGGTCTAGGTTCGGGTGTCTTCTCCGAAGACCTAAATATACACATTTCAACAGCATTGGGAACCTATAGCGCGGTCTGCAAGGCAGAGTGTGTGGGCATCATTAGAGCCGCAAAGGCGATAGACTGTCGCGGGGTAAGAGGAAAACATATTCGTATTCTTTCTGACAGCGCTTCTGTCCTACAGGCACTAGACTACAATATAATGACATCAGGGTTAATTTATGAATGCCACTGAAAGTTGACTAATATTTGTAACGACAATAGGCTGACCCTAAAATGGATTAAAGGACACAGTCGCCCAAGAGGCAACGATACGGCAGACTGCTTAGCTAGGGATGGGTCCAGTAGGACGGCCATTGGCCCGGAGCCAAATGTACCCATACCTTATCGACAGCTGAGAACCTGGATAATGGAGCGCTGTCAATGACAACACGATGAATAATGGGCAAAACTCCAGGACCGCAGATAAACTTGCAGCTATCACGTAAGTTAATCAGAATCCCTAGACATGTACTAAAACTAACCGTAGGTATACTCACGAGTCATGGCTACTTCAACAAATGCCTTTGTAATATAGGTATTTCTGACAGCTCTCTGTGCAGAGCCTGCCTGGATGAGTAGGAGACGAGCGAGTTAAGGACGGCACACCTATCCAGCTTCGTCTGCACTACGAACCAGCAACGCCAGGCCAATATCTAGGTCCAACGTCAAATACGAAGATGCAATGTCAACACTTAATTTAGTATATAATCGAATGTAACTAATTATTAATTGAATATTGTATTAGCTAAGTCTAGACTGTTACTCTGTCCAAATAAATATATTTTTTATTTTAACCAGTTGCAGTAACTTAACTGGCGCAGCCGGTAGGATTCCAATCGTGGGATCTCTGTGCTTTTCGATAAAATCTCGGTATAGCCGCAAATAATCTCACGTCCATCTCTACGGTTAAATTGGAATCGCCAACAAATAAATTCGTTGAGGAAACAACTGAAGGAGTAAGTTGGAAAACCAGCAGTACATTTCCAGGAAGCCATTCTATAACATGGGAGTAGTTGCAGAACTGTGAGTAGATCTTTATCACTATCCTGAAACTTTCCTTTATGTGTTCCCATAATAAATATATGTGTCGTGTTAATTAGGGATCAGTTAAAGACGTTATAGTGTTCACGGATTTAGTAGCAATTTTTTCAATTATATTTTTGTGCCTATAAATTATCAAATAAAATGGATAACATTAACAGAGTCCCGCAGGAACTTGTTAAAATAATACCTGTCTTTGATGGGGACTCCAGACTATTACCACTTTTTATTAAATAATGCGAGTATATTTTACGTTCCTTCCAAGGAAGTCAGTCAGAAAATGAATATTTATTTCATGTTATAACGAGTAGATTATCAGGCGAAGCCGCTAGCTTAGTCGGAGAAAGGGATACAATGCATAATTGGGAGGAATTAAAACAACTATTAGGACAACATTTCGGTGATCCGCGTACCGAGGAATGTATCGCTATGGAGCTAGAATCCACTGAGATACAAAGGGGCGAAAGTTATTTAGATTTTTGCCATAGATTACAACATATAAGAAGTGTTTTATTTTCTAAAATTAATGAAACAATAGGAGATGATAGTTTACGTCAAGCCAAACAGCACATTTAAGATCATTCTACCTTAAACGTATTCTTATACAACTTACCTGCTTATTTGGTTAGGCTTGTACGCATACGAAACGTTAGCACTCTGGAAGTAGCGTCGGGTTCCAATACCGATGTCACAATGCGCACTGCAAGTTCTAGACGCGTAAATTACATTGATAATAATAATTATAATTACGAGTCACAGTCAAATATAAATAACAGTATGTCAAGTAGTGATATACAAAACTCATTGAATGATTCAAATGAGCAAAATTTTTCAATAATGGTGTGTGTGGTAGGGGACCACAGAGAAAGAATAAAAATAAATTGTAATAAACGATTAAATCTTCCCCATATAGTTATTCCTGAATTACAAGCAGTTTTTATGATTGACATAGGCAGCGTTAGGTCATTTATTAGTCCACAATTGGCAAACAATTTTTTTCCCGATTACCAACAATATGAATCATTTGAAGTAGTTAGTACTCACGCTTCGAGCTTACACAACATTACTACGACCATACCATTGCTTAAAGTTTTTAAAAGTTCAAAATATCATAAATTTTACGTTTATAGCGTAGATGATAGATACGACGGCTTAATAGGAAGTAATCTACTTAAGCAACTGAATGCTAATATAGATATGGAGAAACAAATCTTATTCTTAAAAAACACTACTATCCCTATTATATATTCGCCACCAATGGAGGAGGTATATAAGTTACTTCCTCGTAGCGAATTAAGGGTAAAATTACCTGTTAACCTCTTAGATAGAGAAGCAATTTTAGATTTTAAAGTCCTTGCAGACGGGATTAGGATGCCCGCTGCTTTAGTTAGATGCGAAAAAGATTATGCGACAACCGTGATCCAAAATTGCACTACAGATCATAAGACATTAGTAGTTACGAGCCCATTTTACTTAGAGCCATATCAGGAAATTAATAGAGTAAATCTAACTTTTACAAAAAAAGAGAACGATATAGATAAACTTTTAACCGGAAGCTTGCGTAAATTACGTTTAGATCATATGAACATAGAAGAAAAGAATACTATCGAAAGGCTTTGTCAGATATATAAAGATATATTCTATTGCAAAGAAATCCCGTTATCATTTACGAACCAGGTTAAACACAAAATTAGAACTCGTAATGAAGATCCCATTAACATTAAAGCACATAGATTACCACCCGTACAAACGGCAGAAATTAAAAACCCAGTCTCGAAAATGCTTAGGGATAATATCATACAGGAATTATTTTCCCCTTGCAGTGCACCTGTACACCTGGTCCCCAAAAAACTAGACTCATCAGGTCAGCAAAAATGGCGTATGGTCATTGACTACCGCCGCCTTAACGAAATAATAGTAGATGATAAATACCCACTCCCAAATATAAATGACCTTTTTGATATATTAGGGAACAGCTCATATTTCACCACATTAGACCTAGCAAGTGGGTATCACCAAATAGAAGTACAGGAGGAGGTTAGAGCGAAAACTGCCTTCAGCACACCATTTGGATACTATGAGTTTAATAGAATGCCGTTTGGACTGAAAGCAGCACGGGCAACGTTTCAGCGAACCATGGACAACGTCCTGAGAGGGTTACAAGGCTTGCATTGTTTAATATATTTGGATGACGTTATAGTTTTCTCAAAAAGTCTAACGGAACACGTTCAAAAACTTAGAATCATTTTTGACAGCTTTCGCGAAACTAACATAAAGATACAACTAGACAAATCACATTTCCTTAGAAAAGAAGTATTATACCTAGGGCACAACATCACTAGTGAAGGGTTAAAGCCAAATAACGACAAAATAGATGCTATTTTAAAATACCCAATACCAGAAACAACAACACAAATAAAAAGCTTCCTTGGACTAATAGGGTATTATAGAAAATTTATCAAAGATTTCGCTAAAATTACGAAACCATGTGACCAAATTTAAACATTGTTTAAAGAAAGGTCGTAAAATTATTCTAGATGACGAATATAGGAATGCTTTTGAAACTTGTAAGAAGCTTTTGACTAACGCCCCCTTATTACAGTTCCCAGATTTTAGTAAACCTTTTGTCCTAAGCACAAACGCATCAAACTTCGCAATAGGAGCAGTTTTATCACAAGGGCCTATAGGATTAGATAAGCCTGTAGCATACGCTAGCCGTACACTTAGTGATACAGAAGTAAAATACAGTCCAATAGAAAAAGAATTGCTCGCTTTCATTTGGGCCACAAAACACTTCAGGCCATACCTTTACGGTAATAAATTCATCATATACACCGACCATAGGCCATTAGCATGGCTTTATTCTCTAAACGAACCCAACAGTAAACTCACTCGCTGGCGTTTTATGTTAGAGGAATATGAATTTGAAATACGCTCTAAAAAAGGACCACAAAATACTAATACTGATGCGCTATCTCGCATCAAAATAAACGCAATAGATGAGGATTTAGATTCTATTCTAGTTAACATTCACGAGAATGACGAACGGATACAAGAAATCGTAGAGGAAATTAATGATGAAATAGGGAACAATAGGAGTCCAAAAATAGAAACTATAGAATTATCAGACTCTGAAGTAGAAAATGAGCCCGAACTAATAGAAATTTCGGATGACGACATAACAGCGAATTCAGTTTCGAATAGGGAATATGAAGGCATTCCCATCCTTAACAAAGCAATTGATTCTAAACCAAAACAGATACTATTTCACATATGGTATAAGAACAATCTTTCGGTTAAGGATTTATCCAATGACAAACAACGTATCCTAGAAGTTCACTTACCTTTGAATAATGATAAACTGGTGAAAGAATTTTTAAAACAGTATATAGATCCCACGTACAAGTACTATATTTATTTTGAACATGAGGCATTTAGGAAACCTTTTCAAACATTATTACTAGCCTATTCAAAAGAAATTCTATCAAGTTAACTGAGTGTACTGAACGTTCCGTAAATTTAACAGGTGCAGAGTCTGATCAAAGAGATGTAATAATTAAATATCACGAAGGCAATACCTGTCATCGTGGCATAGGAGAAACTTGTCAAAAATTAAAAGACACTGTTTTTGGCCCAATATGAAAGAAATGGTAACCGCAATAGTAAATGCTTGTCAACAATGTCAAAAAATGAAGTACGATAGAAAACCCATTAAACCACAGATCCAATTAACACAAAGTCAAACTTTGCCATTCGAGGAAACATTCATAGATTTATTATTCATCGAGGGAAAATACTACCTTACTGTAGTAGATACCTTCAGCAAGTTAGGCCAGGCCATACATATTACAAATCGCAGTACCCCCGAAGTAGTCAGGGCTCTAATAAAATACTTAAGCATGTACGGGTTACCAGGAAAAATTAGTAGCGATTCAGGAGCCGAGTTTAATAATGACTTAATAAAAGAATTACTAGGGTTGTATAAAATAGAAATGCACGTAGGAACCCCAAATAATCCCAATTCTATGGCTATAGTAGAAAGATTTCATTCCACAATCAATGAAATCTATCGCCTTGCTAAATACGACAAACTAGACGCTACTTCAGTCATGACATACGCAATTATGGCATATAACAACACAATTCATTCCGCTATCAACTACACGCCATTTGAAATAGTTTTAGGACACACAGATGCTGGGAACGTTTTCAATATGGATAGAGATAAAAACTTATTACAAAAATTACTATTAGATCATAGAAAACGCCTTAAAGTCTTATACGAATACATAGCAGAAAAGATAGAAAAGGACAAAGTAAAAGTTAGGGGGAAAAAAGGTGGAGAGCTACCACCATCGATAAAGAAGGGAGACGAAATTTTTATGAAAAATACTAGAACAAGGAAACCAAAACATTTACCCCGATACGATAAAGCCAAAGTTATTGGAGAAACCAAGCATAATGTAATCCCAGTAGAAGTAAACAACAGAAAAACTAAAGTAGCAATGAAAAATGTGAAACGCCCTCCACAGGTCCTGTATGATTCTGCTGGCCCTAGCAGCTTCAATGAGCAGCCTGGAACTTCAAAACCTCGGTCAGAATCCGGGAGTAGCGCCGATAAAGATTGGGACAGCAGTAGTGAATAGTAGTTATTGGACTATCTTTAAGGCATTATAGATTTAGAATCGATAGAATTACAGACAAAAAATAATGTTGCACTTTTTTCTAGGATAAAAGATATAATTATGAAAAATAAGATAGATAAAGAATTAGGTATGTTAGTTAATCAGACAGAGAGTTTTTCTAAAGTTTTAGTTAGTAGAATAAGACAAATATTACCTTATAGTACGAGAACAAAGCGAGCTTTATTTTCACCCATAGGGTCTTTCGTTAAAGCCATCTCAGGGCACTTAGACGAAGAAGACGCTATTAGGTACAACAAACAATTAAATAATTTAGAAAATAAGGAACATATTACAGAACATAAAATATCATACATACAAAACGCCTTCGATAAATTTTGTAAATGTATCTGAAAATATGAACTTAAACATTAAAAGTTTAGATTCAAAAACAAAAGAAAATCTTCTTAACGATGAGATAACTTTTAAGGATATAATTCACGTTACAAACAAAATTCAGCTAATTCTTTCTAACTTTCGCAACATTTACGAAAGCATCCAAGAAATCGAAACAGCTATCGCCTTCAGTAAGTTACAAGTGTTACATTTTAAATACAACCGAATTATACAAAATATTAAAAATAGTAGAACAACATGCAATGACTATTTATCCAGTCAGCTTAGAAGATAACTTAATAAAGATAGAACGTACTATAGTGCTTAAGTCGTATATGGATAAAAATAGGTTAGTTTTCGTATTAGAAGTCCCTTTAATAACTACTGAAACATATATTTATTACATAATTATCCCTATTCCCGTGATCAAAGCCCAAGAAACCCACACTATAATCCCTAGATTTCCTTACGTCTTGGTGAATAGATCGAAATACAGGCCCGTAATGAATCCATGTGAGAAGTTAGAAGATAACAAGTTTCTGTGCTCAGATGACAACATGCCCCAGTACAGAAATGAAACATGCATCGAACAAATTATGCTAATAAAAAACAACTACAGCGATTGCCGCCAATATGCCATACAAATTGAAGAGTTAAAGATTCAGAAGATATATGGTAATAAATGGATGATATTCTCAAGAAACACCCAAATAATTACGGAACACTGCCGAGATGAGACTCACAAGTACAACGTCAAAGGAACATATTTGTTTACACCTAGTAACAATTGCGACGTACAAGTAGCAGACGCCAATATAAGCAAACCCACAAACGCATGAAACATCAGTATACAATCAACACTAGTACAAGTACCAGAACTTCAGCGAGACATCAGAAAAGAAGCCAAACAACTAGACCTGAGGAACGTGGACTTCACCAACATCAAAGACATTCTAAGTAGTGGAAAAAATAGTGACAGTGAATTAGTCTCAAACAGTGAAATGTTCATAGTAACAAATAAAGTTAGCTTGTGGAGCCTTTTACTATACACTGCAATAATCATCTTATTTGTAGCATTTCTCGTCTTCAAATTGAGGAACAACTGCAGCAAACTAAATTCTCCGAAACCACCAGCGGCACTTTCGGATAATTTCTCTCTTGGGGAGGAGTTAAGGACGGCACACCTATCCAGCTCAGCTTCGTCAGCACTACGAACCAGCAACGCCAGGCCAATATCTAGGTCCAACGTCAAATACGAAGATGAAACGTAGCACTTAATTTAGTATATAATCGAATGTAACTAATTATTATTTGAATATTGTATTAGCTAAGTCTAGACTGTTACTCTGTCCAAATAAATATATTTTTTATTTTAACCAGTTGCAGAAACTTAACTAGCGCACCATGTTCTGCTGGAGTGCACAGGAGTTGCAAGAAAAAGGAATTCTCTACTGGGAAATCCACGGACACTAGCAACATCCGGGGACTGCTGGGCATTCTGGAGGTGCTGGGATGGCGAGACAGCCCGTTGTACTACTACTACTACGTTCCCTTAAACATGTTTGAGCGAAGGGATAGCCGGGTCAGACGTCATACTTTTGAACGGGTGTTGCAGGCGGAGATGAGTCTGCTCTAACTACTCTGCTATTCGATATGTTATTTAGTTATACCTGACATAAATAGCAATCAAAAATCGTAGGTGAACAATTTTAAATTATGTTAGAAAGGTGACTTCATGAATCACCTCTGCAGTTATCTTTAAATTTGACGACTCTGTAAATAGAACAGGGAGGTAAAAAACAGCCCTTGCTAAGTTTCTTGCTGGTTCTTCTTAGTACAAGGTCTCTCGCCGTAGATTTACCGACCAACCGATGCCGTAGCTTCTAGACATTTATGAGTGCTTGTAACAGCTTGAACTGAATAAATTATTTTGAGTTTGAGTGCCATTATCATTATCAGCCTAACAATGTCCCCATTGCAGGAGCACAGGCCTTCTATGGATGGAATAGGGAGATTGGCGATTAGGTCGTGACCCGCTATGCGGGCCCAGTGCGAATTCGTAGATGCTAACGATTGCAGATGAAGTCTGGACCAACGGCTTAACATGCTTTCCGAAGCACGGAAGAGCTCGAGATAATAAGTTTTTAGTCACTCATCCATTGGCCGACTATTGCGAAGGTTGTTTTATTTTCACGATCGCAGGCCGAATGCGCTAACTACCTGCGCCATGGGGAAAAGAAGTGTTCCTGCGATATTGAGACTTTCGAGCTACTAAGACGTGCCAGTCGAACCTGACCGTAACTACAGAAGTTTAGAAACTTGCAACAAAATCCTTCTTATATATAATACAAAGTCCCCGGCTGCGGCCGCGGCTCTCTGTAGTATGTTCGATATGATTTTTAAAACTAATGCACGGATTTTCGAGCCGTTTTTACAGTTAGATATTTTTGCACGAAATAATTTTAGGAATATTTTTGCCGTATAACTACTACATAAAAGCAAAACAACTACTACATATAAATATATACGATATATAGAAGCGGAGCAAGGACTAGTTACTAGTAATTAATAAATGAAATAAAAAGAATATTAATTTATTTATTAAGGATCACCAGTGAATGAGGAATAGTTAACATCAAACACAATTTCACAAAACAAGAAACATTATATTTAAGGCGACCACAACATATTAGTTCCCTCCTTCCTATAATCTGGGGTCCTTTAAGAGAGGCGTGAAGAAGCATTTTTGCAGGCCGGCAAGGTGAGGATGGTTGGTGTGGCAGGTTTATAACTGTTGTACCAGCTATCTTCGCGTTTGGACTTTATCACCATTTAACATCAGGTGGGGTAGAGTCATTTGCATACCTCGCTATAATAAAAAAAACATGCTCATATATTGAGCAGACATGATTTTTTTAAATTACATTGAATCATCTTAATTAATAAAAACATAGTAAAAATTAAAACTAAATTGAATTTTCACAAATGTACTAAACATCATTGATTAAATTAAATTGAAATACATTACATTTATTGAATAGCTAAAACTTTAATCTATTCCAATTTGATTTATCAATTCTTCTTTTCTTTTGGTCTCTTCGAAAATATTTTCATCTTTGAAAGCAATATTTTCATAATTCTGTATAAAACATATACTGTAGCGAGCAAAATGGCGACCAGGTCCAGATAATATTTCTGGTAGAAGGATACACTAAGCGCGGGCGTTCGTAAGTGCAGGGCACCTTCTGTCTGGATCACGTATTCCACCCAGTAAACGGCTTCTTTCCCTGGTAGCAGCGGTCTATTGTGGTATATAGACGACAAGTTCTTCACTAATTTTCTATATCTGGAAATTGTATATTCAAAATATCAGCTTTATTGGAGAAGGAAATTAAAAAAAATCTATGCTTCATACTATTACTTGTTTCCCTGTTGACATTCACACACGATCATTTTGGTAGATAGATGATGGATGACTCTTTCACCAATTTTTGTGTGGAAATTATGCATTCATACGGTGCACGTTTCAGATTCTATTTTGGCGGCAAAAGTGAAATAATCTAGAAATTCGATCGTGTGAGAGTGTCTAGTATAGAATGTACTTCCTACTGCATTATCTATTTTCGCTTTTTGGACCCATTAAGTTGGTGCTGTCACTTTCTTAATACACTAGACAACGTGTGACGTAGCGAAACATAAAATTAAAGTCCTGTTTCTGAGTGCGACAATTACCCATCGTTATGTTTTATACTTACTTCGGGTCGGTGAGCATTTTTTGGACAGCTACTTCCAAATTATTAGGCATGTTATAATCCAAAGGTACCCTTATCGCAAATCCTTTTGCCACCGCTTTGTTGACGTTAACAAATTGGTCGAACAATATCGGTATGCCTATTATTGGCACTCCATAATGAATAGACTCAGTAGAAGACAAAAGACCACCGTGTGTTATAAATAGAAGACAATTTGGATGAGCTGTTAACAATAGAGAAACATGTAGATTAATAGATTTTTTCGATTAACAAAATTCGTAGAACATATTTTGTACGGTAGTAAGCCCATAAGCCCTTAATCATATTTTTTCAAAACCTATACCTAATGCTATGCACTGTGCCATCACACTCTTTAAATAAGTATTAAGCTAGGGCAAAAAAGAGATGTAAATATCACATTATTATAAAGTTCTATTGGGCTTCGGTTAATAAGTTATCCAAGAATTTGTTTTTAAGATTTGAGAGAGATCTTTTTTTCTTTGTTCTTTAAATTATTACTCATTGGCAACAACAGTGCCATCGAAACTTCCCTAACATACTTTTTACCTTAGTCTAAGCCATCTAATTAAATATCATTAATTAATAGAGTTTTGCAGTCAAATAAGAATCTATAATGGGTCAAAGACTTATATATACCTAATATGCTGGTTTGCGGCGCCCACTTTAATACCTTCACATTGGCAGGAAGATTAGGCAATTCATCTTCGAATTTCCAAATTACAGTTTGCTTGAGTTTTCCAAAAACCTTCAGTAAACTCTCGATAGTAGACTTAGGGAAATCTTTGCTATTCCATGTGGATCCCATACTAAAGTATATTACTCCATGCTTAGCGCTATTCATTATAAATTGAAGATCCTGAATTTGTAAAGTAATATTTAGATTTAATTATGAAATTTATGATATTTAACTAAGATAAACTAAGTTGATGGATTATTCAACTATTCACGCTTGATTAAAATGCTTTCGGCTAGTAAACTGATGACTTTTCTTTCAGCACAACTCATTCAAAACGACGAATATTACGCAATTTTGAATGACCGTTACAGGTAAAACTACAAAATATATACGATGACCGTACATAAACTAAACATTGGAACTGCAACTTTATGTTTGTTTATGGTATTGAATTTATATGGGTATATTATCTTTGTAATATTTATGTATGTAAATACGTATAAAATATGTATTGTGTATTTATAAACGATATGGTAAGTTAGAAATTTCATTACCTGTGGTAAAGGTTTCGGTGGATGTTCAATATAATAACCACCAATAAGTTTCAAGTTCTGTGGTAGGCTTGGTATATCTCCGAAAGCACAATGGCTGTTGCTAAATACGAGGGAGGAATTATAAATCATTTTATCGTAGTCGGGTAAAGTGCTTCCACGTTTTTCGAAAAAATGGTGGAATATCTCCTGAAATGCTTTTCTTTCCTGGGGAAGAGTACTTGTCCTGTAATTATAATTTTCAAGAGTACTTATTATTTTAATATTGAAAGAGCATTTCATAAAACAAAAATATTCATCAAGAGATACATCCTACATCACAAGTAATAGCTACACCAGCTTCAGCGATAGCAAGAAATTTACCATTTCCACCACGTCCACTTAATTTGTGCCCACAACTCCTCGATTCTCTGTTGAAAGGTGAAAGGCACGACGTTTGAGGACAGATAGTCCGCCGTGTATGCCGGGTTGGAAGGCTCGTCGATCAGCCGCAATGCTTGCCAATGAGGTCCCATTGATGTGGCCCAGATTATTGGGCATTCATACAAATAAGCTAGACTGAAGATAAAAATATAAAATGAGTATTTGAAACAAGACATAAGGCAACACAGAAAAATTAGCCTAGCCCCAAAGTAATCACTGTAAGGCTTGTGCTATAGAATACTAGGGTAACGGATAGAATACATATACTGATACATATTTAAGTATTTTTTTTTGTATGAACATCAATGACTTAGGTACAAATGCTCGTATTCATCACACAAACATTTGCCCCACCAGGTTTCTAACCCGGGAGTTCTAAGTAAACGATACCTTGGCAGCCGGTGTAAATACCACTTGAGCCACGAAGGTCGTCAAGAGATCTAAGCTTTGCGTTTCAGAGGGTTAGCTATGCTTGCAAGAAGGTTTTTCCAAAATCATCTGATGTTAAGAATGAAGAATAGTAAATATATGCAATACTAGCCATCTACATCTCATTGGCCTAAATTACTCTATCTGCCATGGAAGTATCCTTTGCTTTCCAGAAAACTGCCGGGTCAGATATTGATGCCCCATTGTATTTAAATGTAGTTATGGTACCCCTAAATAAATACCACAATGGTATCGGTATTGTTTCTTGGACCATTTTCGCCCAGTCTGCTTTGTAAATGCGAAACCTTCGGTGGGCGAGATTGATATTGTTGTAGGTTACATCTTAGGTTCGGAGTAGGTCACTTACCCCGCATAGATCTCAGTTTCGTAATAATCTATTAACACGGCGTCAAAAGATTGGGTTGTGTCTTCTAGCAGTTGTTTAAAGTTTTTATCGTTAAGGGTCATGATTGCATTTTGTAACGCAAAATCTTGGTACATTTTCATATCGTTCGCGATTACTTCTTCGTTCATTACATTGCTTATACTGTACCCTTCATCTGGAAACAATATAAATGTTAGATATTCTACTATACATGTTACAGAATAGTTTTATTACAGGAAGGCGATGAATGAATCTTTCATTCTCCAATCATTTAGTAACCTCGAGGTTATATATATAAAAATATCATGTCAATGTTTGTTATCGAACTCGTCCATAACGGCTTAACTATACTTTATGATATTTTTTTGTGTATATTTGGTAGATCTGAGAATTGTTTATAGGCTATTTTTTATACCCCTCCGTCATAGGGGTAGCCTTCTTCAGATTTTTTTAAATAAACAGAGACTTTTATTACAACGCCTCAATTTTTTTCGAAAATGTTTAGTTTATCACATTAGATTTTTAATAGTTATAGAAGAAATCTGATCTTATCAACAAGCGTCAGCGGTTCAGTGGTAGAAATCTCACCTTATGCGCCTTAGTTTCGATTCCCAGCCAAGGAACGAGTTTTTTTTCTTATTAATGATTTTAAAAATATTACTTGCATCGTGTTTTCATAAAACCACACCAATTTTTTTGGGACTACATTTTTATTTTTTATTTGTTTATGATTTGGTATCAAAATTACTTAAAACCCTAACCTTTTCACCCTTCTCCTAACAACTCTCTTTTTCTAATAGCGATTTTAGTATTTTTACTTCACACATCCACAGATCCACAGATGGTAGCACGAAATTCACTGGGTCAGCTACATCCTACTAATATGTATTATAAATGTGTAAGTTTGTATGTTTGTTACGCAATCACGCAAAAACTACTGAACGGAATTCGATAAAATTTGGTACGCCTATAGTTTATCACCAGGATTGAGACATAGGATACTTTATATCCCGGAAATATGTTGGGTTTCTGTGGGATTCTCAAAAAAATAAGTTAACGTGGAGGAAGTCGCGGGCGGCCGCTAGTATTATTATAAATATCTCTCTTATTTTTTTACCTGCCATATCCAATATGTTGCTGCTAATATCAACTTGACGTAACCTTGGGTTGTCATTTTTCTGAGGGTAACTCGTTACGAATGTGACCTACGAAATTTAAATGTTTTTAATTGGGAAATAGTTATTTTATTTGAAAAATTAGTACGTTAGCAGAGCGACAGAATCAGATGATTATTTATTCCTCATGGATAACACAATTTTTGGCTTTATTTGGGTTTGGGTCATTACCCAGTCGAACAATAGTAAAATGTTAACAAAACATTACCTATTATAAATATCTAAAGTTAATACCAGAAGGTATATTCTAAAGGAAAAAAAAATAAATGACCTTAAAAATATTAACTAAAATACAATAGGTAACCTAAAGATTAGGTGAGGTCACCAATTGTGTGGATGGAGTATCAATAACTATTTCTTTGAAGATCATTTATATATGTACCTACCTATTTTATAAAGACTCAATGGAAGCAGCTAGGAAGAATATAACTACTAGTAAAATATATAACGACTGGTCTGCGCAATTTTAACTCCTTTATATCCCCTCATTTCAAACTGATAGCAAAGTATACATCTTCATACTATTGATATAGAATGGAAAAATTGTTATTTAGCTTATGGTTATAGCTGTATTTTGGGATATTTTATGTCTTCACAAATCTAAGTTTTTACGTGCTTCTTAAGACTGTAGCGGTCTGATTTTATTATATGGTGAAGTGGTTTACAAACCGGTTTGCGTGGTGTCGCCTATATATACTCAGAAGTCCTAAGTTCAAATTCCGGCGGAGATATTTTTTGTACGACGAATCGGACTTTTGTACCTGTTGACGGTCTGTTTATTTTATTTATACAAAATATATTCTTATCTACGTAGGTTTCAATGTACCTATTCTATCCCTTTCCTTCGGATAGCATAACACATTGGGCTTAATGATGTTTTTATACAGTATTTAACCTATGGATGACTTTTATGACTTATATTAATAATTCTACAATCCCCAGCATTATCGTTTAAGAAGGTGCGACGGCCGGCAGCGATCTTTGTTTTTGTTTCGAAGGCTCTGACCTTAAAATCTGATTGTGTAATGATCACATAATATAGTTTATACAATTATTTCAATACTTCGGGATTTCGGACTTCAGGAGGCATCAGGCATCATTTTGAAATAAATCGTATTATTATTCGTAAATTATGAACATAAAATTAGGACTCACCTCATGGCCTGCATTCAGGAAATGTCTGACAAAACCCTCGCCCAATATATTAAGGCTTCGTATTGGGAAAGGATAAACAACTAATATTCTGTATGCTTCCACTGCACTAAGCAGTCCAATCACAAACAAAACACGGGTCACATGCATTGCGATTCTTTATTTATAACAATTGAAATATTTTCCACTTTGTATTATTTCATAAATTCAATATAACTCTATCTTTAGGGTTATTATAATGTTATTAATATTTTTTTTTAACATTGTAGTCGTTTTTATAACCAATATTGGCAAACAATGCAGTTAAAAGGCTTTATTCCATTTTTATCGTTAAAAATAAATATATTTTGGGACAAAGTTATTTGATTAGAAATAATTGGGCGATAACTGATAAGAAATCACTGACACAAGAGACTTTACTGATTGTAAACAAACGACTGATGTTACTCTGCGAGACTGATCATATACTTAAGCCTTTATAGCAGAGTCGCGTCGTAGTTTGTTACATCAATAAATTGAACGTTCTGTTAGAGCTCGACGGGAGTAAGGATTCAGTAACAAGCACGAACAACTAGCGAGAAAGTATTCGTATCGTCAAGTCAAAGTTTCTATATAAAAAGCCAGTGATCACTTATTTGTCTTACTTTACTTCGGTTACTATGTTATGGTTAGATTATGCAAATTCCGTTGAACCAATGAATGGACAATCTTATTCAAGGCCTTCTAAAAATACACTCTAACGAGTTAAACTTTATTGTAATTGTGTAATGGTATGGCAACATCGTGTTGGGGCTGGATTGATTATACCTATTTTGTTGCAGTGTTATGACGTCACACCGTATCACTAGCCTCTTGTAGGGTTACTGGGGTACTGCCTGATGATACGGAATTGCACTGCCTGTTTTGTGTATAAACATCTGACGATTGTACCACATAATTTTATTTTTTCAATTCATCATCATAATTATGGTTATTTGTATATGTGTATGTGTATGTATGTATGTTTACAATATTTTGTTGTTTTGTATGTGTTTTCATATTCATTAATGTTTGTACCGATTTTAGTGGTGAATAAAGTTTTTTTGACGTAATAACGTCTAGTGGTAAGCCTTTGCTTCGCTTCGATGTAGATTATAGTTTTTGATCTCATGCTTGTATTATACATGTTATATACATTTGTTTTTGACGGTATATATAATAAAGCTTGACTGGCGATTTTTGACACGTATAAAAGAGGTTGTGGGAGACGATAAGGTTTTATGTGCAGCTGACGGAATGCACTTACGATGGAATAGTTATAATATGCATACTTTAATGAGTTGTGTCATTTAACTGTCATCTGTAAGGTGGCACTTCAATCAGAGCGGATAATAATCTGCTATGCCCTACCTCTATTTAGTTAAATGTTTATTATTAAAAACAATATTCTTGTTCATACGGTACATTCAGACAAACCTTACATATTTTACGTGATTATGCAATGGATTGAGCTAATAGGAATACTGCTGGTATTCGATATGGCCGTAGACAACCCGATGTGATGGAGAAGGAATTTCAATTTAAATATTTTTTGTGGGTTGACTAAAGAACATAAAAAGGTTGAGTAAGGGAAAAATAATGAGTAGGATGAGATGTTTTATTATGAATACGAAACAACTTCAGTATTACTATAGGTCACGGCCCACGGCCCATATCGGCTGTAACAGCCATCAATCTGCACTAGGTCCGCGTGGTAGGTCACGATTCAATCTATAGGAAAGTCCTGAGTCCTAGCAGTTGGGACATTAATAAGCTGATGATGAAGTCTACAGATACTACTTTATTGATATGGGTGTGAGATCAGCTGTTGACTGGTGACGCCCTTGAATAATATTTTTTATTTTATATTAAAAGGGTGGCAAATTAGCGTATGACCTGCCTGATGGTAAGCGGCCACCATAGCCTATAGACGCTTGCGATACCAAAAATATCACTCGCACCGTTGCCTATCCCCTACCCCGTGGAGTCCTAGAACCTTACTCACCTTACTTACAGAAACACAACACCACCAAAAGGTAGTGTTATTTTACTGTGGTCTTCTGTAAGGTGAAGGTTACTTCCCCAGACAGCCGCTTGAATTCGTGCAAGAAATCCGGTATGCCCTACTTCCCTTAAATTAAATTAATTTAGACATTCTTAAATTAAACAAGTTATATTATAGTTATTAAGTTATTGAGTTTATAAAGTATGCCTTGATTTGGGTAATTAGATTTGTTATCAGTCAAGTACATTAACATAGTCTTTTGCATGTTTTATCTTTTAAGATATGAGTCTCGATGTTATTGTGGTTTGTACTGTTAACTAATACAATTTTGGAAGTTAAACATGAATAAAAAAGCACATTGAAAAGCGGTGCTTACCCAACGGTGTTAAATTACAGCGACATTTTATCTAGGTGGCGCTGTTATAAATTATAAAAAGATATTTCTTTAAATACATTACTACGCAATCCACGATGGCATACTTATTTTTTTTGATAGTGTACGATTACACATTTGGAATCAATAACGTGGTTCGTGTCCGTCTATATTTCGTTGAGTCGTCCGTAAAATTTAAATTTGGAACGTATAGAATCAATTTTAGATCTGATATAAAATTCCGATTCAGGCAAAAAAATTTTAGTATCCCTGACGGAGGGAGTAAGGGTTACCTAAAAAAACCTGAATCCGATCGGTCTGCGTAGCCTGAGGCCTGCCCACTGAGCGTCATCCGGTTGTAAAACTAATAATTATCAATATATAAAAAGTTATTTTCATAATGAATAGGAATTTATTTAGAATAATCAAAAAGTGTTTATTAAGAATTTTCCAAAGGATAGTCGTTTTTCAGTTGGGTAAGTACATAACAGAAATAAAAAAGTAATATTTTAGACAATTTACATTTTTTACAGTAAATATTTCTTTGTTTAACGTAAAAACCCCTTTTTTCACAAATCAATAATACTTAGTTTCTCTACTTTTTTAATTTTGTTCCACCTTTGAAATTTATGTTCAAAACGAAAAAGATTATCTGTAATTATTATATACATACGTACAAAATACTTAACTCTTTTTAACTTTCACAGATGTTATCTTACGGAACAATCTTCTTAATACTTTTAACGTTACATACAAAATTAAAGCCACAATTAACAAGAGATCTAAATAAAGCTTTTGATAAAGTGGTACGTTGATAGCAGGCGAGCGTAGATGCCTAGCTCCACCGGTTCGGATCACATGTTCCACCCAGTACACAAGCTCCTTGCCTAGAGGCATCGGCCGGTCGTGAAATATGGAAGACAACTCCTTTGCTGTCTTCGAGTAACTGAAAAAAAAAATATGATGGTTAATTTGATTACGAAATTTATTTACACGACCTTTTATTGCACGATAGCGAACCTGTGTTCTCAAGGCCCTGGTTTCGAACCTTAACCATTTATTTGTGTGATGAGAACAATTATTTGTTACCAATTGGGTTATTACTTACTGATTTGTATACAAGTATTCTATACGTGCGTTTTAATATATATGAAGTACTATGTAGCCCTGATACTATATTTATGAAAAAGCAGAGCATTTACAATTACTGTTTCTCTTTTGATTTAAGTGTTACAAGAGTATTTTGCTAATATGTTTAATATGTGGCTAATTATTCTGGAGTTTCCTGGAAACTTTCGTATTGTATGCTTTGAGTATAAGCTAATTTTATCTTAGTTTTCGAGTATCGGTTCATTTCATTTCATCTTCGAGCGATCACAAAGAAACTTTGTAACAGATTTCGTTTGAAGATCAAAACATTCGCCGTAATTATTGAACATATATCTTTGTTACTACCTTAAAAAAACCAATGTGTAGTATATGCAGGAACAGAATGCTATACCTAGGGTTGTTTAGGATCTCTCGTATGGCTGCTGAAAGTTCGCCAGCCATGTTGTCATGTAAAGTCACAGTAATGCCGACCCCTTTCTCAACTGCTGACTTCATGTTGACATACTGATCTCCAAAAACTGGTATGCCCACTACTGGGACGCCGAAGTAAATTGCTTCCGTCGTCGATAGTTGACCACCGTGAGTGATGAACATTTTTAGATTGGGATGTGCTGAAAATAAAATATTTCGAAGTACTATTACGTAAAAGAAGTCAATTTGTAAATATTTTTTTTATTTATTAACTCAAACTAGCAACTTATATCCCAAACCAAGAATCAATAAGTCAATGGTTCCAACAGCGTAACTAAAACCGCAATGAATATTTTAATTGGAATTTAAAATTCAATTAAATTCAATTCTTGATTGATTCCATGGATTAAAAGGTCTTAAACTATAACACATTAAGTACAAACATGGAACCCCGTTGGGGCACTACAATACAATACAACAATTAACTTTAAAATTAATAAAAATCAAATAAAATTATTAACATGTCAACGTGACTACACAATTTGGTATTTGATTGAAATAAATATCATTCAATTTATTATTAGGCCCTCATTAAAATGCAATGTCAATAAAGTATTTTACAATGTCAATTAAGAATAATAATGTCATTTTATTACTTTAAAAACTCTTCCAAACTATAAAATACTTTACATATTAAATAATATTTTAAAGCTCTTAGAAATGATTTATCATCAACCTCCGACTTCAAGTGTTGTGGAATTTTATTATATATTTAAATGCACATGACAAATATACTACTGCCAAACATTTTTAATTTCCTGGCTGGTAAGTGGAAATTATCTTTATTATGTATGTTTAGTTTATTTCCCCGCATTGTTCGTTAGTCTTAAAATAGCTTGGGTTTGTTTTACAAAACAGAGTTCGAAAATATATAAACTTGACAGGGTTAGAATTTTAAGCTCTTTAAAATGCGGTCTGCAGCTTTCGTTTGTTCAGTGTTTACTAGTATTCTTATGAACTTCTTTTGTATCATGAACAAACCTTGGACAGCAGTGCTATTCTCCCACAATATCACACCAAGAATGCTCATAGGCGTAATATGCTGTAAGAGCGATTTGTAAGTCTGTGCTATTTCATATAAGTCGTATATAAAAAGTGACAATTAATTTTATTTTTTTTCAATATGCGTCCATGTTCCATTCACATAATGTTGGTATGTATTTCTAAACAGAGCAGTGTAATATTAAAAAAAATATATCGACTTATCCAATAGTTGTTTGGCCTATGGAGAATTTAATTCCTATTGGATTTTTTTGTCGTGGTCTGAATTGCATTAACTTGGTTTTTCAAAATTAATTACCAATTTTTTTTATATTTTTTTATAGATTGGTCCGACAAATGACTCCACCCCACCTGATTAAGTGATGGTGAAGTCCAGACGCAAAGATACAGCATTTCTACCTGCCACACCAGCCATCCTCACCCTGCAATGCAGGTCGCATTATGATCGCTTAACCATTTCATGATGTTTTCGAATATTTGGGAAATTCAATGTGGAAACTCGAGCGAGTGGAAACAATACAGACACATCATCAGCAAAGGCTACACAATGCTTCTCTATCACTTTTGGCAAATCGTTCACAATAACCAGGAAAAGAACACAGCCTAGTCGGGTGCCTTGTGGTATCGATTGGCATTTCGCATTTCCTTCATCTGCAGTTTGTAATAACTCTCGTTATTGGATCATACTAACTGTCAACGTCCACACACTGTTGCCCACCACACCACTTAAGTACGACGCAAACCAATTGTGGGCGATTCCTCTCACACCGATTCCATAAAGTTTCGAAAGTAGGATTTTGAACGATACTCGTTCGTATGCTTTGCTTAGATCGAGCAGAATATTGATTGCATATTGTTTGTTATTTTTAATTTCAAGTGCTTTCTGTATATGATAATAGACAGCCATGGTAGTTGATCGTTTCTTTCTGAATCCAAACTGACTCTCATCGAATATTTTAAACTTCTCACAGAAACTGTTCAACTTTCGACACATAGCAGTTTCTATTATTTTAGATGAGGTGCATAACTGTGCAATAGGGCGATAATTATTTATGTTGGTTTTGTCTCCTTGGCTTGGCTTGACAGTAAGCCAGCCTTTAAAGGATGTTTCTTTTATTTTTATTGGTTTCCTAGGTATAATTCCATCTAATATACTTCTTAATGTCGTATGGAAGGAATTGTATTTTCATTCACGTTATGGCTCTCTTTTATTATCTCATCCCACTTAATATTCTTTAGTTCAACTAAAAATAAATTATTCAAGCTCGTGATTTTAACAGCGCATACTTCAAATACATATTCTATAGACATACTTGCAATATCCCTCTGTTCGCAAAATTCTTTGGCATCTCTTAACATTATACACACACTTCCCCCTTTATAATTTTCACGACAAAAATGTGAGGCCAATTTGAAACTATTTATTTGCAAAATGTCCAAATTTTCAGCCCTTAGCCAAGTTTCTGATATACCCAAAGCACGAATATGTAGTTTATTATCTAAATATGCGTATATCAAATGTTGTTTATGCCTTAAGCTCTGTATTTCCAAACTTGAAACTATAACTTTCTTAAAGAAAAAACGTTTTGTCCGATTAAATCAGGCTCGTTACATTTTCCGGAGGAACTACTTTTATGTAATTAACCAATTCATTTAAAATACATTTAGGACCACTCTTGTTAAGTTTGTCAGTATATGGTTACAGCATATCAAAATTTAAATTATAGTTAGAGTCTACAAAACAAGCATGATTACTGACATCTAACCATAGCAACAGATTGAAAGTCCAAACAACCCTACCGTTAAACAACATAGATCCACAGACACAAGTTGGTGAAAATAGTATGACATTTGTATTTTTTATTTAAGATAGATTATTTCTAAGAATAACAATATATGAAACTAGGTTCATGTAATCGTCTGCCTTTTCAAAATCGGCTTCCCCAATTAATATTACCACATTATCAGCAGGCGTAAAGTTACATGTTTTTGTTCTATATTTTCTATCATTTAGTATATACCGCTACCTGGGATTGAGTAATGAAAGAAGTTGAAGCGGTTGGGATGTCAGTATTTTCAATTAGGTTTTAATTCCTCTTTTCCTGCTATTATACATTATTGCTTAATAAAAGTAACTTGTTTTATTCGTTTATAGTGTTTGTATGTGATTCTGGGGATTTCTTCTTAGGTTGATTTTTGATATTGGGCATTAATTTATTAGTTGAATTTCTATTTCTTTCAGCTTCTTTAGGGTGTAACATGGAACCCGGGCAAATATCATAAGCATCCAGACTACCCTTCTTTTTTTTTTAGTATAAGGTGACAGGCAAAGCTTTTTTAGCAATTGTTTTTTTAGCTTTATTCAATCTAATAATCTGTCTTTTTAGCTCATTATTTTCTATTACGGGATTTTAGAGTTCATTTTCTGTACTTAATAAGTTAGCACCAATTCTGGTGAGTTTCTCTTCCATTTCTTTTATATAATTTAAGTCAGCAGCTTGAGTTTTAAAGTCTTCACTTCTAGATAATATTTCTTCCGATAATCTATCAAATATCTCCTCTTCGTTCGAAGAAAATATTTTGCCCTCGATTGATTCACTGCAAGGGGATAGAAGCATTATGGATGTTATTGGGGTATTAATAGTTTTTTCTGGAGGAGAAACTATTCTTCTCCTGTTTGCCAAATTTCTTGTCTTAGGTATATTGGATAATTTAGGTGGGATGTTAGTAGATTTTGAGAGCGATGTACACGGGTCACACATTATTGTTTTCCTTTTATCTGGTTTCATCAACATGTAAAGCTTTTGTGATAAGCCCACGCAAAAAAAGTGAGAATGTTTAAGATAGCTCGAATACAAAACAGCATCTCTTTTTGCCCTTGTAGATTTATATTTTAAACAAGTCACCGATGATATTGAAATTATGATGTTTATTTAATTTATTTTCCATTATGAGATGCGAAAAAAAAATTGTGGATAAAACCTTCCTTCGTGGTATCGAACTTGGTACCCCGAATTCTCCAAGGCGTATGACTTAACGTCAACGCCAACTCAACCAATAAGCAGGTGACAAATTTCAGATACCAATATTTGTGTACAAGCGGTGGCTGACTTGATTGGGTATAAGTGTTGTAGTATTGGATTATCAACCAATCACATCACAGAATGAACGTAGCTTTAAGCTCTGACTTAAATTGAATTATAAATGGATTCGCAAGATCACTATCGCACAAAAACACAGATTTACGTTATGTGAGCTTATTATTGATCACTATTTAGATGTGTTTAATACTTTTCTCAATAGTACTCACTGTTTTAAGCACTGTTAGTATAATTTTCATCCAATTTCTTCTTCAAAGTTGTCACACATTAAACTACTCTTTTTCTTGACAATTGATACATGGAAAACTTTGCGAACAATTAATGAGCTGAGTCGTGATAAGAATTGAACCCCCTTTGCAAAACTTTAATTAAAAACGGGCTTTTTAATTTTTAGGAATTAATTTCGATGGAGCTAATGTTAACAAGGACAGCAGCGCCTACTATTTTTTCTTTCTAACTGTTCATTATTATATCGTGAAACCAGAACAGAACAGTGTACGCGAAAAGTAATATTAAGACCTAAGTACAAAAACTAAAACTCTATCAACACTACTAAAAACTGATTCATAACTGATTTATATACTAATCGAATTGACATTCAAATCTTAAGCAAACGGTAGTTGTAAATGTCCATGTTATATAAAAATTACAGTATGTCATCGAATGTTACATTAAACTTAAAATTTTGGTCATCTTACCTAAAACACTTTGTTGTGGTGCCCATTTTGTAAGATGAATGTTCTTTGGTACTTTATCCAGATCACTCTCGAATTTCCATATGACAGTCTGTTTCAGTTCAGAAAACATTTTGAGTAAGGAGTCTCTCATTAAGTCAGACATGTCCATGCTCTTCAAGTTGGAGCCCATACTGAAGTAAATTACGCCATGCTTTGCTTCGTTCATGAGTTTTTGGAGATTCTGAAATGAATCGACATTTTCGTAATATATTGTTAACATAACGTATCAAATATCGATTATTTTAGAGAAATAAATAAATTTCTGTGATTTTTTAAGTGTTGGGACTTATTAATATTTATTGTTTTCTAGTCTTTCATAATTTAAAAGATTTGAAATTGTTTTTAATTGTGTATAATGTGAAACAATAAGTAAGTTAGTTTAAAAGTTTGACTCGACAAGCATATCCACATTGATTGGAGAACACTTGCAGCCAATGACACTATTTATAAGTATTGTGTTCCTGTAGTATCTAATGTTTCACAGTCTGTGGTTAAAGATATGGTCAGGATAGGCCGAGTACAACTGTAAAGTATCGCTAGCGTTTATATAGGATATGCTAGTGGCTTACTATTGTTCGTCATTCCTTTAACATAGCAAAAAATACAAATAAACCCCAGACATTGAACGCGCTAAGTATATCTATTACTACGTGATACTTTGTTGTCTATACATACCTCCGGCAAGGGTTTGGTTTTAGTATCTATGTGAAATCCAGCAACATAGTGGGCATTCTGTGGCAGTCTAAAAGGCGTTCCAATGGATGGATGCGAATTCAGCAATAACAGAGAACCATTGTAAGCAGCATCATAGTAATAAGGTAATTTGATGCCTCTCTTTTCGCCTATTGGTGTGTAAACTTTATTGTATAAATGTTGCTCAAAAGGCATTACCACGAAACTAAAAATAAAATTTTGGTAAAGAATATTTTGTCGAATAATAGGAAAATAAATATTTTAGAATATTTGAAGGCTTAAGTTAAAAAACACTTTTTGGGGCTCAAACTTAAAATTCATTGAAGATGGTACTTGGAATGAGGATGATTATTTTTTCAAAGTTAATTGTTTCAATATTTAAGAATTCTCTTTACGGCGTACCAGGTTCAACGTCAGGCGAGAGAAAAACCCCAAACTGTTCCTGGGAGTAGCAACGCAGATTTATATTTTAGTGGCCCTCCTAAACGATGACGTCACTAGATTAAGAACTACATAGGTAACTTGTGGAAAAAGTTTGCCCACCACTGTCTCATCCTTAACCAATGTCAAATTCGGTATCGTTGTGGTGTAGAGTATAAACATGATTTTAGTTTTCTAGCTGCCACATCCTCGATGATTAGCATTGTCAGCTCCGCAACGAATACGGCGTGTTAGCTATAAATACTCTTAGTATATAATGCATACATGAACTTACTTTAAAATCACATATTTTTTTATTACACTCCAGAGTTCTTTTGCTCTCTGCAGGAAATCCAGAGGTGGGATATTTTCGGAAAACAATTCTGTGGTATAAGCAGGACTTGGTATGTCGTCGACAATTCGCAAAATTTGCCAGTGGGCTTCAGTTGTAGCAAACCAGATCATGTGAGATTGGAAGAGAGGCGCTATCCTGTAAATTATGTTTTTGAAATTGTTATGGAGTCTCATCATCTTCATCAACCTTTAAATGTCCCCACTACTGGGGTACCGGGGCAATTCACCCAGCACGCGGGCCCAGTGCAGATTGGTAGGTGCTAATACAAATTCAGCCAGTACCAACGTCTTAACGTGCCTTCCGAAGCACGGAGGCATATTTTTTATTACACTCCAGAGTTCTTTTGCTCTCTCCAGCAAATCCAGAGGTAGGATATTTTGTGTGATATAAGCGGGACTTGGTATGTCGTCGACAATTCTCATTTGCCAGTGAGCTTCAGTTGTGGCAAACCAGATCATGTGATATTCAAAGAAGGGCGCTATCCTATAAATTTTGTTTAATTCATAAGGAGTTTATTAATCTTCAAAATTAAAATTATAAGGTAATGGCACCCATAACCTAGTTGATTTGGAGATTTGTAGTTATAGGTAAATTATTATGAGCATATCCGAGTATTAAAACCAAATGGTAGGATAACCTTCTGTGTCTGTTAAACATATACTTCAACTTGAATATTTTCAATTATAACTAGGAGCAAACATTTATAAATTTATTCACTAGTTCTATTTCTAATAGTCTTATTACCAACCTAGAAAGCATCGTCTTTGTTTTGTTATTAACTTAATAGAGCTAAAGAATACTTAGATTTAATCCATACAATAATATCAAATTAAAAATGACGTTTTGTAATTTTTTAATGGGCTAAATCTCGTTTTGGTTTTTTCATGATTTAGCGAATTTGCTGCAAGTGGGCCTTATTCATTGAAATGTTATCGTTACTTAAGTTGATACAAGTAAATGTTAGTATCTCTAGATTAACAACACGCCAGACAGCAGACCTATTTTGTTATCACAGACTTAATTCGTAAATGAAATAGCTTACCCAGATAACAATTCGGAGAAGAACCATTCAGCAACAACTGCATCAAATTTGTGATTAGTATCTGATAAGAAGTTTATCAAAACATCATCGTTTAAAAACGATCTGTGAATTTCGTATGTTACGTACATGAAGAACAAGGAATCAGCGAAATTCTTCTTTCCCACCATGTTCTTTATCTTTAACTGTTCTTCCACTGCAATCGAACATATTTTAATTAAGTAGTATAATATGAATATTGATCTACGTTTTCAATAAAAAGAGAATTTTGAGAAATATTTAGATTTCAATTCTAAAATAATAATAACGTTAGACGATTACGATAGATAACATCTTCGAAAAATTCGGAAATGTGGTCCGATGTCCGAAGCATCACAAAAACAGCTTTCAAATAAGCCTGTTCATATCAAATAATCCGCTTGGTTATAGGCGGCTACTGGAGTATCTAGAATAACACCCACTAGTGTTGCACCCAATGTTTGCTGACAATAGTTTACCCTGGCCGCTACCCCTCAAAATAATCTATGGAGTCTTTGGAATAATTACTCAGTAACAGAAACTACCAGATGGTCTGGATTCAGTGTAGTAAATTTAATTTAAATTCAAGTGTTTTTATATTGAAAAGACTCGACAAGTATGTATATACGTAGGAGAAAACCGGGAAACATGCCTGGGTGGGAGAGCTAAACCAACTTTCAAAATTGTATTTCAATTTAGCGCAACCAAATCTTCAATTCGTTCATTGGTCACATGCAAGATGCCAATCACAACAAAACAGTCTGGCATGTGATCAATAAACGAATTGACGTTTTTTTTTGTCGGTTGGTTTGCTCCTTATATATGTATGATGTCTTTGAAAGTAAAAACAATGACAGCTTTCGTGCCATTATTATTTTACTTACTATCTTTGTCGATTCCTGATTGAGCTTCTATATGTGAAAAATCAATTTCAGTTAGGTTTGGCCTTTTTTCCTTATCAGCAAAGCAGGTAAAGTAGACGACCTACAACACAAATTTTTAATTGGGTTTCGTGGATAAAGTATAAGGGCATCACAGTCTACTTCCTAGAACATTAGTTTGGGAAAATGCAAGTTTATTACAACACAGACACTGAGTAAAAAATGGCACATAATTTAAGGCAAATAATTTCAATTATTATCGAAAAATAGTAATTGATCCCTAAAAATACAATTGGTAATCTAAAGGTTAGGTTTGGTTACCAGTTGTATTTTTTTATCGACATCCAAGAGGAAATTCTCAATTCATCATTATATATTTTTTTATTGATGTTCACGCATATCTCCTAGTATCTCTCATACTTATTATTAAAAAATGGATATTTTATTTGTTATTGTTTCTGAATTTTACTAGGAGGAAAAAGGTGGATCATAGTGATGCTCTTCTTCTTTTTTTTCTAATTTGGGTATTATAACGCATCTGCCGTTTATTGCCCAATTGTTCCCTTGATCTTTTGTTTCTATCTTAAAATAATAAACAAGAACTCCTCTTTCTGAAGTATCTGAGGATTATGGAATTAGTTTTTTTTTGAGAATAAGCGTGAATGTTACGGTTTTGTTCGACAATACATAGTTTTATTAAGGTCTTACTTCATGACCTGCATCCAATAGATTGTTGACCACGCCCTTGCCTAGATTATTATGGCTTTTGGAACATAACGGGAATATAACGAGAATTTTGTACGCATCGTTGACACTTGTCAAAGCGATTAAGAATAAAGCGAGCCCTTTCTTATTCAGCATCTGAAAAGGAAATAAAATTGTTTTGTTAATGAATGATGATACCAGCATTGACGTTTAAATGACAAGTAATCCCAATAACTTCACAAAAGTGCATCAAAAAATGACCGAGCGCTCCTATGTTTATATAAGAGAGCCTGCGGGATAATTTTTAATACGGCTAAACGTAATAAAATTTATCCTACAGGTTATCCCTTAAGGGCGAAATTCTAAAAAAGGCAGACTAAGCTGTAGAAAATAAGTATCCTTTAAATAAATTATCATTGAGTACCTACCTATTATTTTTCAATTGACATAATACTTATGAAGTAGGCGCGAGTTACGGATTACCAGAATACAAAGAACGCTGACACCACCATATTACAATTCACACAGTTCATGTAGTAATATGACCAGAACGCCGACAATGTACAAAAAGTGAGAAACGACACGTACTCGTACACCGCCGAGCCCCCCGCGCCTATTCAATGCCTCATGTTGCCCGTGGCATCGCCACTTCGTTTCACACTTCGATCGGGTCAACTAGTTTAAGAAATAGCATTGAAATTTTTATAATAAATAAGTATTAGAAATCATTTCGGTTCTTTTTTAACTCTAACGGCTGCTGCATATTTATCTCGCGATAAACAACATTTGTAAATATTTGAACGGTTCCTACTATCATCAACCTATTATGTGATAAGGAGTTTGTGTAACGTTTATATGTATGTATATCTGCCGTATACACACGGCGTGAATTAAATTTTTGGTTTATTTAATCCTCTGTTAACGATAGATTTAACCTTGACAGGCATTACATATAATTTTACTTCGGCACCTGTGGCTGTAATTTAATAGTCATGTTATCGTATCTTTGATACTCATCCGTTCAATGCACTTTAATGATCATTACGTAAATCTATACAAATATTGAGTCACATTCTGGCATGATTCTTTAAACCTAAATTTAACAATAGGATACCTTTGTCATGTTCTATAAAGATTGAAAAGAATAGACTATTTTTTCAATTTAGTTGTAAGTAGAAAACTTTTTATAGCTTTTTAATTAACTTTTAATATGAGACAGAAAAAGAGCACACACAAACACACAGGTAAATGTAATTTAGTGCAATAGTATAAATGCTGCTAAAAATAAAACATTGTTTAACTCATTAAAAATTACAGCAAAATATACTTAGCAAAATAGTCTAACAACAACAATTGCGTACAAAAGTGAAATAAAAAATCGTACTAAAACTAAAAATAATATTGACGATGCGATAAAAATACATTTTATAACATACTTTTGCGTTCCGTTAATTTTGTTTTAACTTTAAACCCAGACACATGTTGTTCCTCCGTATATTTGGTCACAACTAATTTATTGTTAAAGAGATGTACCCATCTACTCGTACGCTACGATGATGATGTAAGAGAGCGAGAGGAAACTTGTCTCTGATATTGACGATAAAATAATGAGATATTTATACACATTTACATGAATTTGTAATTTAGTATTTTTTTTTAGCTAAGTAAGCAAATTTGATGACCTGATGAAAAGCGGTGGTTAAGTCCAGACGCGAAGATAGATAGAAGTGTACAGCAAAAGTCGCAAAATGTAAAGACTTGACAAAATTTAAGATGTCCCAAATAAATAAAGGGAGACTCACTTTATTCAAATGTAAAAGGGCTAACATAATTTGGAGATTTGTACGGTCCTGCATGATTTTTGTTTCCAAGTCCGTGATTTCTTTTATAACAAATCCCTTTAAGTAACTAAAGGCGCATTTACATTTGTCAGTTAGGCCGAATTCGGGTGCACGAAAGACATTACTCGAATTTGGGCACCCGATGCAATATTTACATTGATTTTACTCGAATATTGACTGGAACACGGCGTCGGTAACCAAAACGAAAACTGTCCGATTACGGGCGCATTCTACTCCGTTCATTTACACTTAGACGTTTGTCCAAATTTCATAGGCAATTGTATTCGGGCTAGCGACAAAATGTAATTGCACCTTAAGCGTAGGTAGTACCTTGTCATATTTTTGGGAATTTCACTAGGGTAAAAATAGCAAAACTCTTAATTCTAATAAATTAATGTTATAAATTGTGTCCGCCAGTATAAGTTGTAAAAACTCCCCGAATGATTAACATGAATAAGTGCTTATTCAAATACTAAGGTGACGCATTTTCCTGTTTTGTATACATGTCCTTGCTAATCTGAACTACATGTACGAGTAGCAATACGAAAATGTTGTGACTATGCTGAAAATGTATTTAAAACATGTTCCACTTTGTTTGAACAAACTGATTTTGATAACACAACACAACGTTTTTCAAACTCACAATCAAAAAGAAAGAACACTAATCCTCTTTTTGGACTGCAACACATTACCCAAGTCGAGTAAGTTAGTCCTCTTTACAAATAAAATCATAACTGGAACAATAATGTAATCCATGGCAAATCAACAAAAATGACTTGATTAGTTTAGAATTAAATGAATCATTGTGGGACATAAAAACATTATTCTAAGTTTGACACGGTCTTTTATCTTTCTTTTAGAATTCAGAATGGTATTTATTAATGTCTACAGCGGCAGCAGCAGCTTATCAATATATATATGGGCGTACGACAAGGTTCAATATTAGGCCCATTGCTTTTCCTTATTCATACTGATGACCTCAACCTCCCTCACTTTCCCAAAGGTTTATGTGAGACAGTACTTTTTGCCAATGCCACCTCTTTATTGTTTAAAGTTAGAAGGAAATAAAGTCATAATGAAATAAATGGTGCTCTCTTTGATGCTCCTTACATCGGGTTCCGATAACTAAATACTTTAAACTAAGTTCTTTAAGAACAAAATATGTTAAATGAACTCTATCTAATGTAAGACAGGTTAATTCTATGTAGTAAACTTAACGCAGACTATTTGATAAGGCATCAGTATGAGGAACCCATTATGTTACTTTCAACATAGGTATTACTTTAGACTCTCATCTGCAATGGGTTCCTCATACTGATGCCTTATCAAATAGTCTGCGTTAAGCACTTTTTACTGTTTGTTTAAATAATCATAATCTTAACTGATGAGGAAATGTCAAGATTGCTTTACTCTGGTTGCTTTCATAACATCAAGACATAACATGGTCTTTTATCTGGTTCAGCTACTAATATCAGTAGTATTTTTATACTACAAAAGTGAGCAGCAGTGCTATTCTGTAAAATTTTCACGCGCGGATCCGGGTGTGGCTTCGCGCGCATATATATATGTATATAATAGTTCCCATCATCGCAATAATTGGATGAACCCAAAATCTTCTTTTTTTCTATATCTATTTAACAATACAGCAGTGCAACAATCTTTTTGCGACACATTCAATATTACTAACACACGTCCAATACGGCTTACTGTCGTTGAAAGTATGGTCGCATCGCAACAATTCGCATTTTGTTCGACGAAGTTCCTGCGATGCGAAGAAATATTGCATCGCATCGCAGTTATGTGAGGATGTTCCAGTCGGCTTTTAAGAAATCTGGTGGTGCAGAGATTCGATCTGTGATCGTGGAAGTTAAAAGCAACTTTTTCACTACATGCTTCACAAGGGACGTTATATTGTCGGTATCGGCTGTATCTGCAGTTTTTACTAACCACCAATCCGATTTCCCTTTTTCTTCTATAACAAAGACCCATGCCACAGCAGTGGAGAAATAAATAGGCTAATGATGATGTCATTTTTTTTGACGAAGGACAGACATTGTGTAAATTTTGTAATCCCAGTCTTCACTCCTGACGATATAATAATAATAGTTAAATTCTTTTTTTCACACCACAGAATAGATAAAACATTTAGTACATATTTGCTGGATACAGTGAGCGATCTCTTCCATAGAATCTTAGAATGGAGAGGATAAAAAAGAAGCTGGAAATACGGCGGTGTAATGAACTGTAGTATATAAAATAATACACACATATATACATAAATATACATTACGACATACATATGCATACACACACATACAGGCATATATACTACACGTAAGTTAGTTCAGTCAAAGGTCAAATCAATTTATTAGAATAATTACAAGGACATACAGTGAGATCTCAGAAGGTTTTTGAAATTGTGAAAAGACTATGCATGCCTTAAGGAGACTGAAAGAAATTTCCACACTTTTTCTGTGCTAGGCAAAGGTACTAGTCAAGGGGTCGTGTTTTGGTAGATATCGCGCGCCTTTACTGCATTGCAACAAGAGCCACCGGTACAGACAACTGAAAATTAACTAAATACAGTTTTTGGTCAAATGTAATATAATGATTGGCCCTTTAAGCGTAATTCTTCGTTTGTTTGTCTGTAGTAAATTCATTATAAATTTTCAATTAAATATAGTTACACAATGCTGTTATATAGGGTGTGAGTGTCAAAATAAGAAGACTTCAAATAGCTCAATATTATAATGTATTAAAATGTTTGAAAATCAATAGAAACGTTTCAAATGTATAGTCATTGGCCCTCAAGGTACAATGATTGGTACCCACGTATATCAGTAATTGGCAGTCTGGATCTTTTTTTAATTCTATTATATTTACCTAAATGAAAGATTCTTAGGTATGTACCTATATAATGGCCTGCACAAACCATGGATTTTTGTCCGCGGAGGACAAATATACACATATGTGTATATAGAGTAAGTGTATAAACATGTGGCGATTGTGCCACATAATTTTATTGATCAATATCTTTTTCTTTTAATTCATCATCATAATAATGATTATTTGTGTATGTGTATGTATATCAACTTCTTAATTTATTATTATTATAATTATATTCTATCTATAAATGTACATATGTATGTGTAGTGTAGGTACAATATTTTGTTATTTTGTATGTGTATTCATATTCAATAATGTTTGTACCGATTTTAGTGGTGAATAATTTTTTTTTGACGTGGTAATGTCTAGTGGCCCGCCCTTGCTTCGCTTCGCTGTAGACTCATGCTTGTATTATACATATTAAATTCACCTTTATTATTTATGAAGGTTTATATAATATAGCTTTACTGGCTATATTTGACAAGTATAATAAAGGTTGTGGGAGACGATAAGTTTCTTAGTGCAGCTGAAGTAATGTACTTACGATGGCATTACTTCAAACAGTGGGACGCATCCGAGTGTTATATGCATACTTTAATGAGTTGTGTCATTTAACTGTCATCTGTAAGGTGGAAGTAACTTCCTCGGATGGGCACTTTAATCAAAGCGGATAATAATCTGCTATGCCTTACCTCTATTTAAGTTAAATATTCATTATTAGTTACAATTTTTATTTTTGAGGCATGTAACTGCTCGATGTTTAAATCTAAAGAAAATATTACTAGAAAAATTTGCGGACCAGGCAGCAGACGGGACTCGAATCCGCACCCTTCGTTATCCAGGCGAATGTACTGACCACTATGCTACCTCTGCCCTGATGGCCGTGTCAAATTTTTCTAGCCTTTCTTGAGCTGCAAGGCAGCGCTGCAATTCTGATTCGAAGTTCCTTAAAACTAAGAATTCATTATCATTTCAGCTGTACGACGCCCACTGCCTAGCATAGGCCTCCCCCAACGATCTCCACACCGATCGGTCTGCGCCACTCCCATCTACCGGCTTTCCGCGACCTCTACATGATCGTCGGTCCACCTCGTAGGGTGTCTGCCCGCTAAGCGCCGTCCGGTTGTAAAACTAACAGTTTATCAATACACAGAAAGTGATTTCAACAAAGAATAGCAATTTATTTAGAACTAGCTTTTGCCCGCGACTTCGTCCACGTTATCGTCGTTTTTCGTAAAAAAGTAGCATATGTCCTTCCTCAGGGTTCCGTGGTTTTGATGTGACAGACAGATTAACTTTCGTATTTTAGTAGGAAAATATAATACTGTTAAAAATATCACAATAAGGAACCGCAGAATATTATTATTATCACTGTGCCCCGAGACCATCAGCGTGTAACTCCTTGTATGTTATTATGTTAATGTATTGGTAATATTGTTTAGATCGCTTTCACATGAGTCTTAAGTACATATAGAATGAAAATACTTCAGCGCAAAGCTTCCGGGTAGACTACGTTGAAATTTGACCCGTCCGGAACGTGAACATAAAAAATTCTAGGACTGCTAACCCGGGAAAGACCGACATAACTGACCATGTGAAAAACAACTGACACCGAGATCTACTCCAACAACACGAAAGGTCTGCCCTTGAGCCTTATTTATTGTCATTGCATAACACACCGATACTGGGAATTGCGTTCTTTTAAATTGGAATGGAAAATTATTTGGTATTATGGGAATTCTGGGAATAAAGATGGTTTCTCCTGCACCGCAACCTATTAAAATTTGAGCCTCGATTACATTTTGTTGCAACTGGGTTACTTTAAGCCGAGTTCCATTGCAAATTTGTGGTGGTCTTAAATTTCGGAGCAGAATAATCGGAATGCCAATTTTTAAACAAATTTCATGAGAAGGAAGTACGGGCATATTTAAAGAATTTAAAAATTCTATCGGGTAATAAGTGGCTTCTTGTTCATCGGCCATTCTATTTATTGAACTATAAACTTTGCTTTCCCCCTGGACATTCGACAGTATTTTATTATTAATCTCAGATGCCTGGTCATTGCGAGGAGTTAAAATGGACCTTTCGCATAGCCAAGAATTGTTCTTATTTAATATATTTGTTACGTCACCGTAAACTGACGATGTAAGATGTTGTTGGGATTGCACTATACAACATAACTCAGGCGTCAGAATAAATTTTCCTTGGTGTAGCAGTGGATAGGTATCTTTGGTGAAGGTATTTTCTTTAATAATATATCAGAAAATTCACGATCATCCGGGTTATCTACAGTTCTCACTCGCATGTTTATAGTCAAATGCACCGATTGTATATCACGCCACAAATAAGAGCTTTTCAGGCAAGCCCTAACCTCAGCAGCTCGGGTTCCCCGTGGTATTACCGTTAAGGTTTGTCGGAAATCACCACAAAATAAAACTGTGATACCGCCCATGGGTCGATCATTTCATCAGTCTTATATCTCTTAAAGTTCTGTCTACCGCTTCTACTCCTTTTCGATGGGCCATCGTACATTCATCATAGGATGATTAAATTACACTTTGAACGAATATTTAAATACTACCAAAACAACTAATACGTGGTCCTAACTTTAGCTACCTTACACATAAAATCTAAGTGACTATTTGAACTAAAATATTCTTATAGAATTATAACCAGAAATATATACAACTCACAACAAAAAAGAAATGAAAATAAAGCTGAAACGCCTGTGCAATACTATCTACCTATACCTCCTTCACTTAAAAATAAATACTTATAACTACTTTAATTAATAAAAGTACCTACGCTTAATAATTTTTAATTTGAACGAATATTTAAACACTACCAAAACAACTAATACCTGTTTTACAAAATAACAACAAAAGAAATTCAAATAAACTATTTAAAGACTAAAAGTCGCGCTGATAAGCACGGTTTCGGTCTCCCAGGCGGGGGAGCAGATGAGAAATCCTCATGGATACCCTACAGCCGGCTGCAAGGTACTGACTAAAAAACACCCGTAGGGGCTGCCTCTGGCCGGGAAGGCCTCTAAGGCTTCATCGGAAGCGATCGTCCCCCAGGGGGGGAGCGACGCAGAAAACAGATTTAGACAGCTCGCTCTCGGACCTTTGATACCCTACCGCTGCCGCGACCCGTGTCGAGCGCGGCAACCGTTACACAAAAATAATCCTTATAGCATGATTCAGTATTCACGTGCGACGGCGCGATGGCTTATTTCATGTATAAGTTTGGTGTTTCTATACCGAGTATTATAAACGTAAGAGTAAACAAATATGATCAGAATGCGCCGAACTGCTAAGCTATCGGGAGTTACACGTGTTATTGTGAGTCAACCATAAAAGATAGACATGTTCTGTTGTGGGATATTTTTTAAACAATTTTATGTAGAATATTTCCGTCATACATGATTTCTATGTAACTTTAATCATTAAGGCTGCACACGCGACGGAAGCTTAAAAAATGGAGTAACTTCTCCCGTTTTCCCAACATTTCCCTTCACTACTCTGCTCCTACTGATTGTAGCGTGATGAAAAGTATACTATAACCTGCCCAGGAGTATGAAGAATAATTGTACCAAGTTTCGTTAAAATCCGTCGAGTAGTTTTTGTTTCTATAAGGAACAAACACACAGACAGACAGACAGACAGACAAAAAATTTACTGATTGCATTTTTGGCATCAGTATCGATCACTGATCACCCCCTGATAGTTATTTTAAAAATATATTTCATGTACAGAATTGACATCTCTACAGATTTATTATAAGTATAGATAATCTAAAAAGTGTTATCAAAGAATTTTCCAAAGAAGAGTCGTTTTTCAGTTGGGTAAGATAAAATAGAAAAATTAAAAAGTAATATATTACACAAATAACATAAAAAAATAGTCTTTTTTATAAAAAAAAATCCTTTTCGTAATGTAAAAAAACTTAAATCACAAATCAATAATACTTAATTCCTCTACTTTTTAATTTTGTTCCACCTTTGAAACATGTTCAAAACGAAAAATATTATCTGTAAGTATTAAACCTTTTATATATGTACAAAATACTTAACTCTCTTTAACTTTCACAGGTGTTCTTTGACGGAACAGTCTTCTTAATACTTTTAGCGTTAAATACAGAATTAAAGCCATAATTAGCAACAGATCTAAATAAAACTTTTGATAAAGTGGTACGTTGACAGCAGGCGAGCGTAGATGCCTAGCTCCACCGGTTCGGATCACATGTTCCACCCAGTACACAAGCTCCTTGGCAGGAGACATCGGCCGGTCGTGAAAGATGGAAGACAACTCCTTTGCTGTCTTCGAGTAACTAAAATAAAAAAAAGTGATGATTGTTATTTTGCTTACGAAATTCATTTATTTAATGCACGATAGCGAACCTGTCTTCTGAAAGCCCTGGTTTCGAATCCTTAACCATTTATTTGTATGATGAGAACAAAGATTTGTTACCAATTGTGTTATTATTTACTGATTTTTATGCAAGTACTATATACGTGCGTTATTAATAAACATAATACTATGTAGTCCTGATCCTATATTGATGAAAAAGCAGAGTAATTCATAATTACTGTTTCTCTGTTTGATTTAAGTGTTATAAGAGTATGTTTGCAAATATATGTAGCTGATGCGGCAAAGAACGTATTATGCATTATGAAAGCATAGTGGACTCATAACACCCGCCAGGCAAGTTTTGTTGTAGGAGCGAGACATCACATATGCACATCCCGTTTCAATAGCTGTTTTACCTGTCGTTAAAAGTTCCTATTGGTGCACTTGAACTCAATTCCTCTACACACCGTGGAGAAAACATAAGTATCGTAGCATCGTGTAACTGAATTTTACCCGTCAGCTATGTTTTATTATGAAAATTTCTATTCAATTAATGGAAATCCTGGAGTTTCCTGGAATCTTTTGTATTTATGATTTGAGTATCAGTTAATTTTACCTTTGGTATGTATGAGCGAATACAAAGAAACTTTGTAGCAGACTTCGTTTGGATATCAGAAAATTGGCCGTAATTATTGAACATCTCAACATCATTTTTACTACCTTAGATTTTTTAAAGTGTAATATATGTAGGAATTGAATGCTATACCTAGGGTTGTTTAGGATCTCTTGTATGGCTGCTGAAAGTTCACCAGCCATGTTGTCATCTAAAGTCACAGTAATGCCGACCCCTTTCTCAACTGCTGACTTCATGTTGACATGCTGATCTCCATAAACTGGTATGCCCACCACTGGGACGCCGAAGTGAATTGCTTCCGTCGTCGACAGTTGACCACCGTGAGTGATGAACATTTTAAGATTGGGATGTGCTGAAAATTATTTATGTTGAAGTGCTATTACATGAAACAAGTCAATTTGTAAATATTCTTTTTATTTATTTACTTAAGTTATATCCCAAACCAAGAATCAATAAGTCAACGGTTTCAACCGCTTATCTAAAACCGCAATTTTAATTACGATTTTAAATACTGATTTGTAACTGAATTATACACTAATCGAATTAACAATGAGATCTACAGCAAAGGGTAGTTGTGAATGTCCATGTTATATATAAATTATAGTTTGTCATCGAATGTTACATTAAACTTCAAATTTCGGTCATCTTACCTAAAACACTTTGTTGTGGTGCCCATTTTGTAAGATGAATGTTCTTTGGTACATTATCCAGATCACTCTCGAATTTCCAAATGACAGTCTGTTTCAGTTCAGAAAACATTTTGAGTAGGGAGTCTCTCATAAAGTCAGACATGCCCATGCTCTTCAAGTTGGAGCCCATACTGAAGTAAATTACACCGTGCTTAGCTTCGTTCATGAGTTTTTGGAGATTCTGAAATGGATCGACAATTTCGTATTTTAATATAATCTTAACATTACGTTTTAAATATCGATTATTCCAGAGAAATAACCAAATTTCTGTGAATTTTTACTTTTGGGACTTGTGAATATTTATTGTTATCTGGTCTGGTTTTAAATAATTTAAAAGATTTGAAATTGTGTGTAATATGAAACAATAAGTAAGTAAGCTTTAAAGTCTGACTCGGCAAGCGATTTCCACATTGATTATAGAAGACTTGCAGCCAATGACATTATTTATAAGTATTGTGTTCCTGCAGTAACTAATGTTTCATAGTTTGTGTTAAGGATATTGTAAGGATAGGCCG